ACATAGGATGATCCCTGTGGCCAAGTAGCAAAGACTGGATTGTGTCCAAATTACTAACCCCTAGATCTCCACTCCACATAGCATTTAGCCCACATGTCTACTGGGTTACTGTAGCCCTAGGACACAATTTGTTTCATTCTTCTCCCTTCCTCCCTGCCCCCGTTCACAGTGTTTGAAATAAAGTGAACTGCTATGCAGACCAGCAGTGGCTCAGTTAAAGCACAAAACTAAGGGTACGTGTCATATACCACAGTCTGTGACACAGGGTATGTGCAGGTATTTGAAGTCACAAAGCCTTTGGGCTAGCTCTGGAAGATCAGAAAGGGCCAAGAAAAAAGTCTGGTCCTGGCTTATGGCTGCCTTTTGAGCATGGTCCTTGGAGTAAAGTGTTGCCAGACCACTCCTGTGCTTTTTCTTGAAAAGAGCCTTTTGGAGCGGGCAAGAAATCAGCTAATACGTAGATGGGGTATTCAGGGGTTTAGTACATGAGACAGATCCCTGGCACTCTCTCATTTAGTAGTACAGATATACCTATATATCTGCAGTCAGAGGCATATTTCTAAGCTTTTCAAGGGGAGAGACAGCAAGACTATTAAAACTGAAAAAGCTACACTTCCAAATGAAAGGTTAACAAAACCCTTTTCAGGTAACTACTTGTTCTATCTGAACCGATAGTTAACATCCTTCTCCTTTACCTTTTCTCCACAAAGGCCTTTAACATTATATCAGTTATCTGCATCCTAGCTTCTTTCCTTATCTTTTTTTCAGAAGAGGCTTTTTATTAACCTTTTGGGATCTTAGGGCTGACCCTCTTTATGGCTCATTGACCAGTTCTCATTCCTTGAGTTCTTTCTCAGAGAAACTCTTGCCTGTTTGCCTTTAACTGCAAATCTTTTATGATTCTCTCAAACTTCCTGCATGAAAAAAAATTTGAATGTTTTCCAGCAGCACAGATTTTTCAAAGCTACACAGTTGCATAGATCTGTCAGCATGGGTTATACTTATTTGCAATTTAAGAACAGATATTATCCAAAACAAGAATATCTATATCTGATCCTTAATTCTCTTTATTTGCTTGAAATATATAATTGTTGTTTATGGGTTTTGTGTATTTAATACATTTGTCCCTTGAAATAATTATCTGATCCAGCAATCTCACCCATCTTTAGAGCTATTAAATACAATATGAAATTGCCATTTGGAGACCCCTATTTACCACGGGTACACAGTTTATAGCCTGAAAAAAAATCTGGAGATCAAATTGTTGAAAAAAAAATAATGGAGAAGAATGTGTATAAAATTGGACCCAAGTTTGAACAAAATTATTGATTTTTCTGGATATTAGACATTTTATCATCTGAGTAAGGAGTCTAACTTCTGAAGAATGAGTCACAGCATTTGAACAAATGAGAGCATTGTGTTCTTCCTGAGGGAAATCTGCTGTCCTCTGCTTCTTCTATATTAGTAAATAAAATTCAGTTATTTAGGACTCAGAACAGGACTTTGCCTTACCCAAAATATAGTTGTTTTTCTGTGGCTTATTTCCGGCAACAGTGCTAGAGCGTAAAGCAGATATTACATCTTGGACACTTTTAAAACATTTCCTGTAAGGATTCCATTCTGTTCAAAGTAGTTTGAAGACTGGGGGTCTCTAAGAACAGATGTTCATTGCACTACATAATATGCAAGTAGTTTGTTTTGCTGCTAGGTTTCCTAGCTCTGAATACTAAAGCTCTGTTTACATGTTCATAACTCTGTCTTTATAGGCATTGAATTTTATTGCAACAGTCAGTGTTAAGTTTTACATTTCCATTGTTACGTTAAAATCTGTCTGTCATTTTTTCTAGATGATCAGTAAAAGTTCATATACAGCAGTCACGATAAAATAGTCTCAAAAATCATGGTATAATAGTTTCAACAGCACTTTTTGTTTGTCAGATTTCCACTCTGTCAAACCCATCCTGGTGATTTAAGAAACAAAAAAACCCAGAAACAAACAAACAGAAAAATTAAGGTACCAAAAAAATATAGCTTGTCTAGTTGGCAAATCAGAAAGCACACAGGAAACTCAGTGGAGATTTCCTAACAACCAGAAGCAGCTTTCTGAATTGGAGCAGATCATGTTTCTTCACAAGGAAAATGCCAGTTTCAACTAATTAGAATCAGTTTATTAGAGTGAATATGCAACTATGAATTCTGTTGCTGCCTGCTAAATTCAGCCTCATTGGGGAGGATATGACTGACAAATTACAGCTCAGAAAAAGATACAATACTTATGCAACAATTTTCATTCTGTGTGCTGCAGGAATGAAAAGGTTGGTCTTAAATATCTGCAAGCTTTTTCTGATATCCATAAAGTGTGCCATTACTTTGAAAACACAATGTATGTTTCAGAGTAAAGTAAAACAAACAGATTGATTTAACAAAATAGCATAAAATCATCCCTGACAGTGCAGTATTTTTCAAATAACCCTCTTATCCAAAGACAGCACAATAAAAAGATGGGAGAATTCAAGAGGAAACTCTATTTGGTATGATTCTTGCCTGAATAACACCTTTAGAGTTTCCATAGCGTAACATCCATTTTACATGGCAAACTGTGACCAACTTAGTTTTCTTGCTTGCTTGCTTGCTTGAATATCTCATTTCCAGATATTCATCAGCATGCCCTGCATGTTTCAAGTGTCTATGTGTTCTCCAAAACTTGCAAATATTTTTGCCTGAGTATTTGCAACATTGGGGCTTATATTTAGAAGCATATACATTATACATAGAGAAGAACTTAAAAGTACATTGCCCTTATTATTTCACTGCCACTAACAGTAATATTTTTCTAGTTTCTATGATTTCTGAACATTCCCTACAGTTTACTCTAATTTTCTTGTGCTTTTCAGACTGACCTAAACAGAAATCCCCATAGACTGCTCAGCCGTGTCTGAGGTCAAGACATTTGCATGTCCAAAGATCCTATCTTCACTGAACACGCCTTTTCGTTTTTGGTACCAGACATAAACATTTGTTGCATGTACTGCTTCAACAGAGTAACAACTTAGTTACTGTCCCAGCATCCGAACCAGCTGCTTTCAGCTGCTCCTGCTGTGGCAGAGACAGACCCAGGACTGAGAAGAGGCAGCCTGCTGGACCTACCCTGGCCTCAGTAACCTCACTTCTTACTCTGAAAATGTCTTTTTTAAACTGAGAAGGAATAACCAGGGAGAGGGAAAACAGGATTTCAAAAGGAGTCAGATGAGAGAAGGATGGTGGGAAAGAGAAAGAGATCTTGAGTCTTTTAAGTTAGAGGATACAAGTATAAGCCCTGTCATGATCAGCTTTTGTTCATGCATATTGTCTCATTTACTTTAAGGGGGTTGATCACGTAGCAATGGAAAACTTTAGAGCACAACTTGGGCATCCCATCCTGCGGGTAAAGAAGCAAGAGCTGCGTGGTTGCCTAAGCACATGTGCACTCCCAGCCGTACCAAACAAAACCCAGGGTCTGGTTTCCTGCTGGTCTTGACACCCTGCATGATAAAATGGATCTCTTCCTTGACAGATCTCTCTTATCTCCAGTAATGCTTGGCTGAGTGAATTCTCTAAATGAGGGCCTGCTGTGTTTGAATAAAGCAGAAATGCTGCTACTCAGTAATAAGGAGGGATTCTTGGAGAAAGGAAAGGAGTAGGCATGCCTGACTTGCTAGGCACAAGAAAGGCACTGGTACTGGTGCAAGGAGCAAAAAACTGGGTGAAGCTAGTGCCATCCAAAAAGAGAGCACTACGCAAGAGACACTAAGGTGATTAAAATGTGTATTTAGAAGTTATTCCTTGTGGAGATTGTCTCTTGCTTCTTACGCCTAATAGTTTATTTCTTCAGACTTTATTCAGTGAGTATTAAAGATTTCTTGGTGTTGCAGGCTTTCCCTTTAGGACTGTGGGCAAATGGCAGACATAACAAAGCAGCAGCTGAGGGCTCCAGCAGGTTTCTCCCTGGCAAAGGTCCCATGCCTGTGAAACCAACCAGCAAAGATTCAAGTATATGCTATTCAACATGAATGGGCTACAATACATGATACTTCTAATACTGCATACCTTGCGACCTCTAAAAGGTGACTTTTCAAAGCTGGCATCAGGATTGCCTGAGGACAGCCAAGAAACTACAATATCACAGGGGAAGCAAAAGTTCTTCACAAAAGATGCACCTATGGAGACAAAGCCTGAAGAAGAGGAGACTGAGGGGAGACCTCGTTGTGGTCTTCAACCTCCTCACAGGGGGAAGCGGAGGGGCAGGTACCGATCTCTTCATTCTTGTGACCTGTGACAGGACTCGAGAAAATGGCATGAAACTGAGTCAGGGGAGATTTAGGTTGGATATCATGAAAAATATTCTCACCTAGAAGGTGGTTGAGCACTAGAACAGGCTCCCTATGGAAGTGGTCATGGCACCAAGCCTCTCTGAGTTCAATACAATGCTCTCAGGCACATGTTGTGATTCTTGGGGTGTCCTGCGCAGGGCCAGAAGTTGGACTCAATGATCCTGATGGGTCCTTTCCAACTTAGCATATTCTATGATTCTATGCTAAAGGACATAAGCCTCAGTTGTGCAGCTCCAAAGGGATATTTCAAAACAGAAACAGAGCTCAGACAAACTCAAATCCCTAGCATGATAGACTGACTCCAGCGACTGATGAAAAGTTCTTGTCCGCCAATGTTTCAAGCCTTGCACTTTGAAAGAGAGACAAACCACTGACTCCCACCACACAGTTTTTTCGAGCACTCAGCTGCAGGCTCCTTCTCAAAGGAAGCTGTTCCCTTCCTGCTGCCCCACCTCCCGCCGTCCATAGCTAACACACCCTGTCTTTCTGACTGGAGACCGTGCTCGCTGTCAACCATTATTAACTGCTTCATGGGTTTCCGAGGCTGTGGCGGGTGGGAGTTTGCACAGGCCACGCTGGGAGGGGAACCACAGGACCTCACGTTGGCACACGGTACTTCCAGTGCATTACCCTCGGTTCCTTTCCACCGTGCTCCGGCACAGAACAGTAACACCAGCACCCTCCGCTGGCCTCTGCCATGAAGATACCTGCAGTGAACAGGCTGATCGGAGCTGCTGTTAGATCTGTTATGTAAAATCCAGAGAAATACACCGTTTTACTAAATATTTTAATAGGTCATACTCTCTGTAAGTGGCCTCCAGCTGCCTCCAGTCACTATACACATACACTGTGTAAAAGCAGGGGCAGTGACTTTAAAGCTTATGCACAGAAAGAACACTTAATTTTAGTGTTAATTACAATATTCATAAACTACGTTATTATATATTAAAATATATACTTTGTAGCTTGTAATTAAAAGTTAAATTATTTAATTTTTTAAAACATATTTTATCATTTAAATTATTATAAATTATCATCATAATATTTTTCCTCTGAGATTTCTGACCATTGAGTATGCCCAAAATTCAAACAAAAAAAGGGACAACTTAAGTCAGTGCACCTGTAGCAGGCAGGGTGTCTGGGTGCATGACAGCTTGTAAAAAATATCTTTTGTTTGATCCAGAAGTGTTGACTCTCTTATTAAACACATTCAACATATTTTAATTTGTATTTTTTTCTTTGAAGATCATCTGTAAATTACTGATCTAAAAATGTTTATTTTGTGTAGTTACAGAAACTCTTAATCTATATTGAGGTGTCCAATAATAAAATGAGAAAGGTCCATGTTGAAAATAATGGCCTACCTAAACCAGTTCATATCTGATTACATATTTATTTTTGAGGGGATATTTTCTTTTTTTTTTTAGTGTATGTGCATTCATGCAGGTTGGTACAGTTTGTTTTTTTTTTAGTGGCTGCTCCTGCAGAGTAGTAGTGATTCCAAGAGCTGGCTGATATGTATATTTGATTCTGATTACTCTTACCAATTACCTAGACTGAAACTGGGGAAGGTCATTAGTAGCCATTATATTTCCTTACTGTAACTACATGGATTTGGATACTTATGTGGGATTTAAATAGGTAGACTTCCTTTGAAATACGCTCTCCAAGATCACGTAAGTAGAGAGAAACAGAATACATATGCAATGATTAGATTCAATCTTAGCACAAATTCCTGGATGCCCCAACCGTGTGTAAGAATACATATTGTATTAGATCTTCTGCCAGTATATCATACAAACTGGAGTGAAATCAATATATACAGTGACTTCAACAAAGAAAGCAATCATAATTTTCAAGATAGAAATATGTCCCTGAGGAGGAGGATAAAATCAACATAATCTGTCTCTGTGCAAAAAGACAAGTGGTGGCACTGTTAGTAAAGTTACCTACTCCAGTTCTGGTAATGCTCAAGATTCTTCCAACAATTTGGCAGCATGTGGGTTTCTAGGAGTTTAAAAGTGCTCTGATTTTGTATTAGCAAAGTAAATTAAAAAAAAAAAACCCTCATAAAATTGCTTAAAATATTAAAAATGTTGTTGAAGCAAGGAATATATAATGAAAGTTAAAACACTCAGACTGTAAGTCTATATTAGTGGAATCCCCCCGAAAGGATAGAATTTATTACTACTGAGTGTTCAGGATTTTCAACTGCTTTGCATACACAGGTATCTATCACAAAATGTGATAGACACATTTGTATTTTCTCCTCATTAGTCTTTGTGTTTTATGGTGAATTAAAAAAGGCCGAGAATTTTCCATGGTCTCTGTCTTGCAGGAGAAAGCACAGAAGGAGAGGTAGTTGCTTTACTTTTCCATGAAAAGATATTTTTTCCCACAATATATCCCATTCCTTCTAACATTAAATTGATTTTTATATACTGCTATAGGGCTTTTATGAAGAGGATATATGGTACAAATAGCGAGTTTTGTTTTCACCTTTTTTTTTTAATAGAAATCACTTTCTTTTTACAAAGTTCTGTAAACTGAAGAAACAAAAATAGTTTAGATTTAGTATGTCTCATGAAAATACTTAGAAGACTGAACTTTTCTTTTGTAACTCATTTTTATAGAGCTCTATGGGTGAAACTGATTCTCCACTGTCCCTACTGACTTCTAACTATCAAATCACGCTCTTTTTTATTGCAAACATTCTGACATTACTATTTTGCTTCTCTTAATTAAAAATTATTGCTAGACATAAACAGTATAAAACAGGTAGGCTATTAGAATAAATTGGATAAAATCTTAACCAAATTATAACCAAAGCTGTCTGAAGATACAGACAGAGGCTTGCATAGCCTATCTTTGAAGATACAGTCCTGGAAATTCTTTCTTTCTTCTTCATATCTTTATACCCTTTTGCCATATTTTTGAACTCGGGACATGCTTTTAGCAATGTGCAATGTGCCATATGCCTTGTAGGACTACAGTTTTATACTTGTGTTTATCAAGAAACCAAATACTTAACATGACTTATGCACACTTGATGTCAACAAACTGAGAAACAATTGGGACAAGCAGTCCTGTCTTATAAAAATCCCAAGCTCTGTCGGTTAGCTAAAATTACTTTTGATTTTAGTTGTGTCATCAATACCATTGATGAAGGTCTCTTTAGTACTTCTCTTGAATTTAAACCTACAGATTTAATTATGCAAACCTGAAAACATTTCATACTGATTAACAAGACTCAAATTCAGCTGCTCAGTTTCTTTCATTAAGGCAGTTTGAAATTCTGTACATTTTTTTCTATTCATTTATCAAGTGGCTGTACCACCCTTGCCTAGCTGAGGTTGAGATAGTCATTACTTTTTAAAAAATATTGGGCAACCAAATGTGAAAAATGAAACAAAACCCAGCAGTTTCTGATGAAACATACAGATAACATCTGCAATGGCATACTTAAAATGAAGCAAATACACCTGCACATAGGTACACAACTCTTAAAACATTTTAATAGCAAAAACAATTGAAGGAATTTTACTGTAATTTTGTCTGTTCTAGATGGGGATTGGAAACCTGCCATTGTACTATACTGGATTTTCCTTCAAAATAAACTACAGTCAGAACAGCTGGAGGTAATAGAAGTATGTCCAGGATAAATACTTTCTCCTGCCCTCCATCCCAGCTGTTAAATCATTTTATTCCTCTTCCTTTCACAGCATGTCCTACTGGATAGTTTCTACACTCTCTTTTCTGCAAAATCCCTCAGCTTTCCTCACCCTGTACTTACAAAGAGCTGATATGACCTGGGGAAAACCCTTATTTTACCAAACGTCAGTTCACACATATCTTACACCCTACAAGCAACAGTATTGCTTCTTAACAACTCTGGTCCCTCCTACAACAGTGGTTGTTGCACTACCACTCTGAAGTATGGATCCTGGGGGAAAAACAATCACTAAAGGTAAAACCACAAAATTCATGCAAATGTCTTCAAATAAAACTTGCATTGGCAACCTTAATTCCACCATATCCTAATCTTTAAACAGTTAATACCTTATCACTGAATACTTGATTATTATAAATTATTATCTAGGTATAATTTAAATTATATTTATATTTACTAATATATTAAGGGTTAATATTAATATAGTGACCCAATCTATTTTTTCTTTTACAGTTATTATTTATTGTAAATGTATTGCCATATATGATTATTAAGAAATCATATTTGTAATTTTCCTGGTTTCGATTGGGATAGAGTTAATTTTCTTCCCAGCTGATACAGTGCATTTTTTTGGATTTAGCATAACAATGTTGATTAGCTGCTTGCTGGGGTTAAACCACAACAGTGGCTTGGATGCTTATTTAATATAATAAACTTACATAGAAACATAAAAAGAAATGAGAAAGACAAAGTTTTTGCTATCCACATGATGATATCATCAAACAACTTGCTTGTGAGAATTTTACAAAAATCCCCCAAAGACTGAGAGACAGCACATGCTGTCTCCAAGCAGAGTTTTTCTTTAATGTCGTTCCTGTAATAACATCTGCAGCTCTGTTTCTTCAAACTTTCTCTTTTTTTCTTTTTTCTTTTTTTTTTTTTTTTTTTTTTTTTTTTTTTTTTTTTTTTTTTTTTTTTTTTTTTACACTTTTACAGTTCTCTGCTCTGGTCCACCCACTAGAGCAATTTATTCAGCTGGTCCATTTGAAGTCTCATGCATTTAATGTTCTGCACGGTAAAAACAAACAGAAGCAGTTGACATGATTATTGCATTCATGAAACTATCATCTCTCAGTGTCTTCGAAGCAAAGGCAGTTCCATTTATGAACATGCAACATATACTTGTCATTTTCCCCCAATAAAACCAACATTTTGTTAAGGTGGCTACTATTGTGTTTCACATAATTGTATGTTACTGATGTAAAGGAAGAGGAGACAAAGCACAATTGATTTCTGCCACTGAGGCACAATTCATAACCAAGTAAAACACTGCAGAAGCAATCAGGACAATGCTGGTTACTGCTTTGCAACAGGGGCGAATACAGAAAAGCTACTGGTCGGGACAGGAAACTGCCTGGCTAAATGCAGCTGGCTAAGGGACATGAACCCATGTAACAACCTCTGTTTCTCTTCCAGGGGAGCTTTATGGAGAAAACAGGCATCTTCACAGGCAGGCAGTACAGAAAAGCTCATACCTTCAGAGCTGCAGAGGAAAGCAAGCAGCTTCAATCTTTGTGTCCATCTCAAATGATCAGCAGGAAAAGAAATAAAAAAGAAAAAACCCCCAAAACTACGCTAACAAACCCAGAATTCAAACCCATCCAGAAGGAGCTGGTATAACCATTCCTTCCCATTTCTCATTTTCCACGAGAGGGCGCGGTGGTGCCGGAGGGACGGGCTGGGATGGTGGTGGCTCTGCCTGCCCTGCCTGCCCCTGCTGCGCCTGCCGAGAGGAAGGTCGCGCAGGACCCGCCTCAGCGCTCCTCTCATTCCTCTCAGTTTCACTGGGGGCTCAGGGCTGTCCTTGTGCCCGCTTCTGCTCTCACACCGTGGCCCCCGCACCTTGGACGAGACGCTTTCGTGTCGGGGCGGCTTCGCCAAAGCGGGGCGGGCCGGTGGGCGGGCCTCTGAGCCAGCCCCTGTCCCTTCCTGCCGGCAGGCGCGGGCGGAGGGACGGGGGATCGAGGTGAAGACTCCCGTACTGTCTTCACCTCCTTTGTGCTGACAGAGAGGCACCTCGGAGGGGGGGAGGACGCAGCACGATCTGAGGGGCTGTAGATGACACCCTGCTGCCCTGACAGAGGAGGTGCCAGCTCTCTCTCGGTCCTCTAATTGAACCTGGAGGAGCTACCAGAGTCCTTTGCCCTCGGGTGTAGGCTGACAGCTTGGACAAGTCATATGGCAGCAGGAAAGTAACAGCACAAACACACGTGTAAAAAACATGGGATGCAACATACAAATGATAGAACGGGGCGCTGTTGTCTGAATCTTATGTGTTCAATATTGAATGCAAATTTTCTGTAAAGGTTTGTTTACTACTTGGTTTTAGCCCAGGATTTACAAATGTATCTCAGGTCTTTCGTGATGTGCTAAAATGCAGATTCAGTAATGATCGAAGAAAGCTGATCTTGTAGGAATTCAACTCTGAGCCGTAAATTTGACACATATTTCAGGAATTCTCTGTTCCTCCGCATAGTTACATCACCTTGCAGTCCCAGACACAATCCTTTGCTACCAGCTACAGTGGCTACCGCTTTCCATCCTGTTTTTATATCCCAGAAAGGCCAGACTGGAGTCCCTCATTAATAAAAATGTCATCACTACTCCAAGGACAACCCAACAGCTGACAAGTTTCTGCAGCAGCCCTTCAGAGGCCTCATTTACCTAAGAAGACTTAAGAAAAATTTTGGACTTTTTTGCTTCCACAGCTGAATTCTCAGCTGCTTAAATGAACAGATAATCAGGGCTGAAGCAGGTGATTTCTAACATTTAGGGCTTTATTAGCTGTGAGCCAGATGCTTCATGTTATCTAAGTATCAGAAGCCAAGGGAAGAAAATGAATTAACTCCCTTTACTGGATGTGGCTAAAATCATCCCTTTTCAAATGGACTTTTATTATTTACCCATCAAAACTCTTGTGAAGAGAAGACATGTTTCCTGCCAGAAAGTGTTATAGATAATATGCAATCCCTGGACACAGGGCCAAGTGATCTTTAGCACTCAAATCCACCTCATCCTCTGTTATCAGTCCACATTTAATCCACCTCCTTTTTCCAGTCAGCTCATACACAGCTGACTGACCTATCTAAGGGAATCCCCACTGAAGGGAAATGCCTAACTGCTTTAGTTCCTTTTTAATGGGTTTTTCCAGTGGGGGGTGGGGATGGGTGCAAAGAAGGTGGTAAACTATGTCAAAGACAGCAGAGAAGGCTAGCAAAGGAGAGGATATATTCTGCTTGAGCCAGCATGGACTCAAAGCATCTTTCTGGATTATGGAGGCATCCAGGAAACTGAAAGCTGCAAAGAATGATTTAAACAGTGAAAAGCAACAAATCATTTTCAGTTCTTTTTATTCCTAGATCTCAGTTTACTGAGTCTTGCTTTAAAAACCAAGGAACATGCATTATAGACATAAATGTCAGGGTGTCCAAGATTTTCTTACCAGTCTGGAATACAGACTGCAATTCCAAGCTTGAGATTGCTCCTATTGCGTGTTGTGCAATGGAAAAGTCTGCAGGAGAGTCTGAAATCTATGTTTAACCACCCTAATAGAGACAAAGTTCGAAAAGGCAGGGATGTTCTAATGCTTCCATTTTCAGGCTGTGTCTCTTTCACTCTTCTATTCACTGAGTAACATATTTAATTATTTTAGAAAATTTTCTTCTGGTCAAGTATGGGCTGAAACCATGAAACCATTCTTTTCTTGCTTTGCATTACTCTCATTAATTTGTGTGGTGAGTTCCTGCCCTTGATGCATAGGCATTACTTTATGTGAAGCCAATGAAGCTTTGGCTGCCTTACGGATTATGGGTTAAGGCCCTGCATTTGTACTGGTTTACGCCACTGTATGACCTAAATGAGATTAGAATAATAAATCCTGATTTATTATGAGGGTTTTATTTAGGCATGTTTTGAGTATGAGGTCTGTGTCAGGATTAATAGTGAAATCTAACATGCCCAGGCACAGAGAAAGCCCAACAATGAAAGGACATTTTTTCCCTTGAGAAAACTGGTTCCCAGCCTTCTGTTTGGCTTTTAACAGAGTTGCTAAATGTTGAATGGCACAGAGACGCTGGATCCCAATGATGGTGACGTAGTCCATGACTTGGAGATGAGCCCATTCCAAATGAAGGACAGAAGTATCCCATCAGCAGTATTTTCCAAGGCTAAGTACTCTTGCTCTGCAATGCAGTAGCGTTGAAAAGGCTTCAAATAAGGTTCTCAGAATCCAAAGACAAATGAGAAATTACAGGTTCAGGATTTACTGGCTAATTCATCTGTCATGTTGAATGGGCACTGGTTTAGGTGCCTGCCCAGTAGTTAAATCAGATTGCTGAATCTGTTCCAAGGGAATGTCCATTCTTTTCAGTATCCTGGTCACCATCTCTCATCAGGAAATGATGATGATGATCATGTGATGTAACGCACCAAATTACATTGGCCTTAGTATTAGATGCAGAAGGTGTGTGCTTACACCACATAGTTAAATTTCTGTATTTTAATAGTCGCATTACAAGAAGCTTCAGAAGAATTTGCCTTTCCAAAAAACTATTTAAATTTAAATGAGTGGAGTGCAAGGACTTGAGCTGGTACTTTTGCGATATACAAAAGGAAAGAAGAGGAGGTGTAAGTGTTGTGAAGAATTAAGTGTATTAAATCATCATGAATTCCACAGTATCTCTACCCTTTGTCTAATTCAAAGAGTCTTAATAGTCCCACTCTCCACCAGCTACTTATCAGATCTTTTTCAACATCAGATTTTTGTCACACTTGTTTTTTTGAATAGATATAGGAAGAATTATTTCCTTCAAAATGTTGCTGTTGAATTTTGTAATCATAGGCGTCATGGGGTATGGAGCATAAGAAAATGCTGAACCAGAATATCATTTTATTTTTCTTTGGTTTGGCAAGAAGCCTGTCTATTTAGCAACCTCTCCTGGTACGTCTCAGCTGGTGTGGAACTGAATGGAATGGCCTCACAATTTTTCAGCTAATTTTAGAGAAAAGCAACTTTTGAAGAAGGGTGGACTTTAACATCCAGCAATAATACTTTACTTAGTACTTCACATTTAAACCATGAGAGCCTGGTAGTCATGAGAAACACAGTCCAAGAAATCATGAAGCCTCAAAAGAATGAAAAAACCTGCCCATGTAACTAAGGGCAATTTTTCTGGACTACTGCAGTATAATATCAAATATGAAGATGGTTCACTATCTAACAAAATCTTAAATTACTTTATTTTCTTCCCTTCTTAGAAGTACTCTTTTCTGCAAAATCCTTTCTAAAAGACTTCTAGAACTACACACTAGTGAGAGTCATTAGGTGCAGAGTGCTTTAGCACAGTGATTCGCTAACAGTCTTGCCAACAAATTCATTAACTGCGAGTGACATCAAAGATGAGAACTCAAGACCCCTTTGCACAGCAGTAGGGGCAGCAGTTCAACTTGCAGAATGCAGGCACTTTATGTTATCTACTTTTGTTCATTTCAAGTCAAATAGCAATGGGACAGCCTAGATAAGCAACTTTTTGAACCCTGGAGGTCCACTTCAGCTTATTTCTTTGAACAATGACCCTTAGAAAGAAAACAGTAACAAACAGATCATTTGGAGTTGCCCAACATCCCTGGACAGCAGCAGAAGTGTGCTGAGGACCAAGCATTGGCTGAACCACATGGGAAATTTGATCTATTAGGAAGTTTCTTATAATGCTGCAATGCAGAGTTTCACAACAAACCTTTGCTTGCCTGCTGGCAAGGACAGGTGCCTGTGATGCAATCTGTGTGACCACTGTTCTTTGCTGTCCCTTGGCAACACCTGACCAAGAGAGCAGCCATTTTCTTTAGTTGTTTACAACGTGCTGCCCATGAAGCTGGAGTTGGCAATCACATCCACAAGGGCACTAAGGGAAACCTGCAGTTTGTTTGTTGAGTGGAAATGGATGCTTGCTTCCCTGTACGTTTTATAATATACTTCAGGCAAATCCTGGTGGTTTTGCTGAAGACAAGTTGTGGAAGCCTTTACCCTCATGCAACAGGTTAAAGACTTATAGTACAAACTGTGAAGAGTTGTTATAGGTCACTGATAAAAAGCAGTACAGTGCTTATGGCCGCTGTGGGTTAATGTTAGCCACAAGCATAATCAGAAGGTTTGTGCTGAGAGCAGAGAGGTGGCGTGTAACCCACTGAATTTATCATTGCTGTACTATGTCCTCTAGATAGTGCATGTGTGTACTGGGCTTGTGAAGGCTGAGGGATATACAAGGCTGGCCTACCAGTGGAACCGAGGAAGGCTAGGAAGATGTTTTCCTTGTCTGCTAGAAGTATGTATCAATATAGGGGAGATGTTTTCCTGATCTGGGAGATGGAGCCTTCTGTAGTATGTACTACAATATAACTTGTATCTATTCTATTTGTTATGCATATTGTCTAAACTCCTGTTCAGGCCCTTTATCTTCCCCACCTTTGCCTAATGAATATTATGGCCTGAACACAGACAGCTTCTTTGACAAACTTGCTTCAGTAACTGCTCAGTTTTCCATGTTCTACCCTGGTATAAAGTAAATTTTACTTTTTTTTGTTCTTGTCATTCTGGGAAATACACAGGATCTAGGAGCAGGTGCTAATTTAAAACTAAGTCCAAGTTTATTTATGCTGAAGCCATAAAATCCTCCTTCTGTACGAGCTATAGCATACCTCTGTACATGTACATGGGTTTTAGTGTTTGGACATTTCTTATCCTCTCTCCTCTTTCCCATATTCACTCTGCATTCTGTATATTTCTCTATGTAGTCAAATCCACAGTTGCCCAGTGCTGTGTATCGCTCTGCTTCTGTAAGCTGTTTATCCAGGATTTCCAAAGCTGACTGCACCTGGTAAGGGTCTTAAAATCATATCTAGACACCTTAATCAGTGACCTGATTTACAGAAGCACTGAGAACCCACAAATCCCTTTGCAGTCAGTGGGACCTGAGTTTGCTTAGCACCTTGAAAATCAAACTGCTTATGTTTCAGCACCTAACCATGAATTTTGGAACATAGTTTTAAGGGTTCAGTGTGGGTATTTTTAGGGCAGAATGGGGTTCACTTAGAGATATTTTTAAATAATTATTGAAACGTATATCTACTTATTTATATTAATAAGCACACTTATAGTAATTGTCTTTTTCAACAAAATAGTGCTTCTGAACTCCTTATGGTGCAAGGCATTAAGATGGAAATCATTATTTTAGTTGATACTCAGTGTCAGTTTCTGCATACCATGTACACTGTGTTAGTTCATTTCATGGACTCTTTCACTAAAGGAATCTTTTTTCACTGTTCACCAGAAATGTGGGGTCCTCCCCGGGGATTGTTCTGAGTAATAAGCACTTCTTATAATCAGCTTACTGTAAATGATAGAGCAAAACATGGCTGTGCTCCAGCCATGATACCAAGGTATCTTTTAAAAACCTTGTTGTTTTATGGTATATGACACTATACATGACCTAGAGAGATATGAAGTATTTTAACCACGCTATGAATGTCTAAACCACTCAGTTTCAGTTCTCAGTTCTCACCCCCGTGAGTCAAACCCATCAACCTGTCATAGCACCTATTAATTTATAGATTTCATCCCAAGGGCACATCTGCACACTTGTGAGAAGGTGTGTCTGGTCAGCTGTTTCCACAGAGATGGCACAAATAACAACCAAGAAGAAAAGAACCTGTAGCTGCACATATGCTTTGGTGAATCTGGGTATCAAGGAGGGTTTATTTGTTCCTGTATATGCTATGTTTGGAAGCCCTGATGTGCCTTTTCTCCCATTCCAATGAAATGTCTTATGTTACAAGAAAAAGAAGAAACTGAATGTGTTAGATTTGTGTGCAAATTGTGTATTTCTTTATGATCACAAAGCTTTCTGCAATGCTGAGCTGAATTGTTACAGCATACTACAGCAGATTGAATTTCATGAACACTTGAAGGTGCTTAAAATGATTTCTAACAAAATGCAGCTAAATGAAGTACTTGTTAAACAGAAGACAAGACAAAAAAAAAATACTACAAAGATACAGTGTGGCTGCCACTGGGAAAATGTCAGGTACTTGCTTCTTGTAGAAAATAGAACATTACTTAACTGATTTAAAATCCAGATAATTTTCCTTTGAAAAAAATCACCAGTAAGCTATTCAGGGGCTGGTGGATTTCTTTGTTTCTTAAGGACGGTAAAGATTTGTGCAGAGACATCAGCAAAGAGCAGCTTTCTGAGCTGTTCCCTGCCAATTGCTGACAAAGGCAGTCCTAATGAATCATTCTGAATTGTGATCATGTGCTACCAGCCCACAGTGAGCTGCCAAAGAGGAAGTGCAGCTTGTTTTCTTTCATTTTCTTGATTCCTATGCTGTAGGAAGATGAAAGGAGAAGGAGGAGGAGGCAACAGCGGCAGCCAAACTTAATAAATAATTCTGACGATTCCTGATATCAAATGGAGGCCCCAGAGTGGGACCCACTGAAAAATGACACCCTTCCGCCGACCCTGACGCCAGCTGTCCCTCCGTATGTGAAGCTGGGCCTGACCATTGTATATACTGTTTTTTATTCACTGCTTTTTGTGTTCATCTACGTTCAGCTCTGGCTGGTTCTTCACTACAGGCACAAGAGGTTCAGTTACCAAACTGTCTTTCTGTTTCTGTGCTTGTTTTGGGCCTCTCTTAGGACAGTGCTCTTTTCATTTTACTTCAAAGACTTTGTTACAGCAAATTCTCTCAGCCCCTTCATCTTCTGGCTTCTCTATTGCTTCCCAGTCTGCCTCCAGTTTTTCACCCTGACCCTGATGAATCTTTACTTCACACAGGTAAGCAACAGATATTTGATTGATTAAATCTGACAGAATGGTAAAGCAGTATTTTGTAAGAATCATGAGAAAAATGTAATTTACAAATCTACCTTGGCAATGCAAAAAGCACATTTCGGTTGTTTAGTAGTTTATTTTAACTTTTGATCTATTTGCAAGTGATCGATGTTACAGTGAAACTGAAGCCTGAAGTGATCATTGCAGGAATGGCAATTAATATATCTACTGTCTATAAAATGGGTGTCATTTAATTTAAAGGTTTAGGAAAAAATGTGTAGGAGAGCTTGAAAACTGGACACCCAAAATGCCATTCTATTATTATGCTTTATTTTTGTTGTTGTTATCATTAGACTTTATAAACCTCCTGACTTACCAGACTTGATGTCTGTGTGCAGTCAGAATTGTAATTTCTGATTTTGCCAGCAACCCCCCTCCACATTCTAGTTTTACCTAAGTTAGCTAGCAGGTTTCTGAGTGAGATTTCTATGTGTATCACAATTAAAACTGTTGATCAAGTCTTACTGCAGACTCAAATTTCTGTAATTATCAGTATTACAAACAGATTTGAATCTGGACCCCACTAAGTGTTAAGTGCTGTACAGAGATACACCCTCTATTTCAAGGACTCTCTGATATAAAGGTAAATTAACTGTACAGTGAGGTAAAGGGATATAGTATCATCATTTCAGAAATAGCTCCTGAGAGTTTATCTGTGCCACTGACAGCTAAGGAGCCAGATGAATTAGGCTGCACAGTGCTCCAGGTTGCTGCAGTTAGAATTGCTTGGAAATATTTATGGTGAATTTGGATATCTTGCACTGGGCTGCAGGGTGGGATATTGACATGCTGAGGCAAAGAAAACCTGCTGGGCTTGCCTAAGATCGCACAGGAAGCTTGCAGGAGGGCAGAGACTGGGTTCTCTATCTCCTCAATCCCACTACAGTGCCTGGAGCAGGATGCAAAGCCTGCACCCAGATGACCTTTGTCAAAGTCCACTTTCTCAGTGCAGGAGCAGTTGGTCAGGAGAGCATCAGCCAGCCCTGGAGCACACCAGGCAGTGCTCAGGATGCTCTGGGAGTTGCTGTGTGCCCCACTTGGAACCAGCTTGGTACCTGGGTCTGGATGCTTCTTTAGTCCCCATGGTGTTTAACAGTGCCTCTGTGGTGATGCCAGGCCTATCAATTCTGAACAGCCTGTCTGGAGAGATGAGCTGCTTGTAAGACCTGCCATCCCAGACCTGAAAAAGCAACAATGTAAGCATGACAACTGTAAGAAGATCACTTGAGTTGTAGAGGGTATTAAATACTTAGAACCACATACACAGTTTTGAGCTTAGGTTTAGTGTTCTGGATTCAGTGTCTGAAACACCTGTTAACTCACCCTGTTCCACTCCCTGAGACTTGAGATACATTAAGGGATTACAGAAACCTTTCATCTACATGCTACTCAAATCCAACTCAGGCATGTGGTGACCTTTGCTTTATCCCATAGCTATGGTGAGAGTTATTTGATAACTGCACGGTTTCCCAGGGCCAAACGTCCATCATCACACAGTCCATCTCCATCGTAGTGCTGGGATTAAGTCGTAGCCTTAAATCAGATCCTTCCCTCAGACACACTTGAAGGGCTGCCATGGAAGTCTGCAGGCAGAATGCAGCATCCTGGCTCTTGGCCAAGAGAAGCTGAGACCGGTGTGAGCACAGAGAGACACAGCAGTCTCTCATTAGAGTGTCAGCACTCAGGAGGCTTAGTGTTGTGGGTAACATTCATTTCGTCTGAGGAAGATCTAAAAAGAGAGCACACAGAATGCACACATATGTTCTTTCAACTTATTTTTAGCATTGCTGTCTGATAGTATTCAGGAAGCACAAGTCGGTGGTTGGAAACAGAAAAAATGCTTAGGCAAATGTTCTGCCTTTGAGACAATTCCTGCTTTGTCAGCCTGAGTCCTCATGATCTTCTAAGCCCCTCTGCTAAAGAGTGTAGTAGTTACCTATCTTGAAGGCTGTTGTGAGTCTTTTGAAACAATATTTGCAAGACACATTCAGAGTTTGTGATGTGCATCATAATCTTTAAATACTGTGGGCTAGTATAGATAGGCATAAGATTAGTATTGTTGTTTGCTCTAGAGCTGCTTGCTGTCAGTGAAATCTCATCTCAAATATCTCCCCAGATGAAACAAAGCTTTAAGAAATACAAGTACAGTCGTTGTAAAAATATAATATGACACAGAATAGGTGCACATATTTTTAATTCACTGCTATTAATTCTTTACTTCTAACCATTAAAAGGTGGTTTGGCTTGAAATTCAGCATCTTGTATTTAATGTGCATCTAGCTTTCCACAGTAGGCAAGCAAGAACTAGTGTGAAAGGGGTGGGGAGAGTAAATTTTGTTTTCAGTAATGGCTTATAACTTCACAGACCTGTTCAGAAACAACTTTTGTCCTTTTAGTCTCTAGAAGGCAGGCAAGAAGGGTCTGCAGCTGTGTCTCCTTGCATGAAAACCTTGCTATTTCACTGGTGCTTAACTAGAGGGAAAGAAGTGAACTGTGTATAGGATAGGGATAGAGGACTGGAAGACACCCCATGGGTCTCTGGAATTTGCAGGTATTTATTATCTACTGTACAGCACCCACCATTTCTATATGTGGCACTGCTAGGGAAACTTTCAAACATAGATGTGAGAAGGAAAAAAGTTATTAAAAAATACTGCAAATCCTCCTGACCAAACCAAAACCCTCATTTGGCAAGTGCCTGAGGGTATTTTTCAGAATAATAAGCACCTTTGAACTTGACAGAAAGTTAGCCACAACTATTCTCTTTTTTAATAGGTATTCCAAAGCAATAGGGAAATTTTAACTGTGTTTTATGTGTAGCAAGACAAATAAGCCCTGATGACATCAGCACAGCGGAGTTTTGTTCCCAGACTTGAGCATCAGCAATTGCAGCAGAAGAAGCTGCAATGTGTTGAGGCAGGTTGCTAAAGCAGGGGACCTGTGGGCAAAAGGGAAGTTAGAATCAAAATAGATTTAACCCAGAACAAGGGATCTTTGGATTAAGAGCCAAGTTCAGGGTCTTTTGCTGACCCAAGTTCAGGGTCAGTTTTAATGCCCTGCTTAAGGCAGAATAGAAAAGGTGCTGCAGATATAATTAGCTCCTCTCAGAAATACCATACTGGAGAAAATTAATGTGATTTCTAATGAAATAACTGAATATATTAGAATCTATTAATCCTGTGTCTGTATTCATTCTCTTCTAAAGAAAAAATAATAATGTGACCTATCTTCTCAAGGGGGTAGACCCTCTGTCTACTTGAAAATCATTAAAGTAAACCTCAACTGAAGGTGAGATCCAGTGGCACTTCTGTAAAACAATAGCACAACAGCAAGTGACTGCACTGTATCAAGCCACAGCAGCTCCGTGATCCTGATCCATCAGATAAGGAGTTGAAGTGTGAATTTCCACCTAGAGAGACCAAAAATCCCATAGATATATTTGCCTTACATGTGCAGCTTCCATGGGTTTATTTTGCTGCTTGATAACATATTTTTCATTTTAAAGTGGAAAAGACAGTGAGGATCCTAGGACTCTTTTGTTGATCTTCCCTGCCCCTGACAAGGGGAGACGGAGTTGAGTCCTCAGACTTTACAGTTAGTGCTGTGGGCAAAAGAGTAAAGAGGCTCTGGGAAACAAAATTAGTTGCTTTTTTTGGTGCATGTGAGCGGTGGGCAGAAGGACTTGCTTCACTTTGTCCTGTTTGCTCAGACTTCGCATTTCCCTGGGGAACAGAATACAAATGAAGCAGGAGGGAGGCTAGGATGGAGGGTTACAGACTCAAAGAACAAGGTCACGGCCAAAGACCGTGAGCTATAGAGGACACTGAAAATCCCAGACCTCTGCTGTGGCCAGGCACAGCAAACAGTTTGCTGGACTGTAGATTTTATCATTAGGTTGGGAACTTCTCCAGGACCTAGAGAAAGTAGTGCTGAGCTAAAGAGGTGAGAGACTGTATGGGTGGAGAAGGGTTGGTAGGCAGATTTTACCCCTCCTTCCTCCTCCCTAACCATCTTCCCTTTTCTCTGGCATCCACATTGAGAAGCTTACCCTGCCTTCCAGGCAGAGCTGATAAAATCAGGGACTTTCAAATCAAGATAAATTGTACAGAATAAGACAGTTCAGAGGGGAGCTGGCCATGCCAAAACTGCCTGGCAGGGTGGGGTAGAAACAGCGCAAGGCTTTTGGAGAGTTTACATGTGTCTCAGTGGAACTGGGGTACATGTTAGCTCTGGGAGGAAAATTAAGGGAACTTCTCATACTCTAATTACTGAGGATAGCATTTCAAAAGTTCTCACCAGTGAGAGAACAGAGAGGCCTTTTTATTTAGAGAAATATTTATTTTTTTTAGTAGAAATAAATAAACCATGTATTATAAAGCTTATTATTAATTTAAAGCATGCTTTAGATGTACATAGAACTACACAGGAGTCTAACTACGCATGGTAAAGCATCAACAAATATATTTGCTTTAAAATATTGTCCTTATTATTGTATCTACAGAAGACAAATTGCAACTGCAGACTGGCTGACTGTCAGCATCTGACATGAAGAATGAGATCATTTGACTTGGAAAATAATTTGATAGGAAAGCTATACATGAAAATTTACTGTGGCTGTCAGCCCCACAATCATCCCTGTCCTTTTAGGACTATTTTTACCAACTTACGGAAGAGCCAATGTGGTAGTGAGTCATGTTGCCCATGTCTGTAGGCCTTACAAACTGTGCAGAGTTTAGAGAGCAGAGAGAAAACTTGCCTATTTTGGGAAATCTGAACCGAATGAAAGAATGAATATGGGAGAAAGAGAGAAAGGGGAAGGTGGGCCTTGGCCTGGAAGATACACAGCAGGAGAAAGGTACATGTGTTGTTGATGAGGGTCTCTGGGCCTTCATGAGGTTGTAGCAGATTTTCAAGGTTCAAAGAGAAGTTTGCATGGCCTATGAAAGAGGAAGAGAGGAACCATGTTGAAAGTAACTGGGAAGGAAAAGTACATGCTATGCTTCTTATAGGGTTTTTGAAATGAGAACTGGTGAATAAAGCTGAACTTCATTCCTGTGCAGAGGGCCAGCTTGAGACATAGGCAAGTGCTTGTCACATACCTGAGGCTTTTTGGTGAGCTGAGCTGTGGTTCCTTTGAGTGTGTACTGTAGAGGTTTGTGCCAGCGTCACTTCCACTAAATCAGAGCATGGACCTAAAATTTCTCCCGGGAGATTTTCTTTTTCTTTTGGGAATATCTGACTTGGCTTTGACACCAGTTTCATTGATACTTGTAGGGCCAAAGTGGCTCCTGATTGACGTTCATAACCGTAGCTGGAGCCCCCATCAGCTAAAACAACTTGACCCTGTTCGCTTATTCTTCTGCCCAGCAGCTCTGCAGAGCTCTCTGCAATCGAGCAGCTGATGGGCTCCCATGCCATCCCCACTGCTGGGGCCTGGCAAAATGCCTTCGAGGTCAGCTGTTTACATCAGTTCCTGCAATGGGAATTTTCCCTGGCTGTATGAAGAGCTTTTTGGACTCCTTTTGAACTGCTGCAGTTTTCTATGCCAGACATATACCTCAGGGGAGTGGAGGAGGGAGTGTGAGAATCTCGTTTGAGGTTTCCAATCCTTTGGCAGAAACAAGGAGTCAAAACAGGATATTTCCCCTTCAAAAAACAAGCAAAGGGGGAAATACTTTTAAGAAGAAAAAGTAACCCTTTAGACATTAGAAAATTAGCAAGGATTTTCACTGAGTTTTCCATGTTACTGTTCATCTTTGGGCTCTCTGAAAGATTGCTTTAGAAGAGCCTGCCTTCTGCTTGCTGTTTATTCTATTCTTAGGAATAGTCTGGTTTGCTCTGGTTTGCTGGAAGACTTGCTTATATGACTCAGATATTGACTAGAAGCTTTCTCAACACTGCTGTGGGGAGGGGCCATTGAGCAACCAGTCTCTTGAGCTAAGTGCCTGTTAAAAGCAAAAAGCTGCACCTACGCATGTAAGGTATATTGAGATCAGCTTCTGACATCCTTACTCCCACTGAACAGCCCTTTAATTTCTGACAATCACATTGCTTCTAGCAAGGCTACTCATGAACTAAGGCCCCATCAGTGTTTAAGCAAAGGTGGCAGAAGTTGGCTGCCTGTGTTTCTGCCTAGCAGTGAATTGGTCAGAACTGTCCATATTGTAGCTTTTATTCTATACAACATTCATTTTCGGTACAGTGTTTCTTTCTTAATGGTCATTTTGCTCTGATAAAATTCAGAACATTTATGGTTGACAGGTCCACCAAATATAGAATCACAGTATCAGCTGTTTTGGTGATCTTGAATCTGGAGATCCTGCTGGATCTGCAGCAGGGTCATAGTATTTAGTTTTAGCTAAGTTATCCATGGAGATTTTGCTGGGAAGTGTAGTCTTGGATTGGTTTATGTGATAGGACTGCTCTGTGACATTGTAGGGATGAGTGGATCATTTTTGGGGAACCACAGGAGATGGTATTTAGGAACTTGAAATTTTCTATGTTTTTTGAACTCAGAACAAATCATTGCCCACTGGAAATTGCTTGTCTTTTGCAGTTCTTTGCAGAGGCGCTGAACTCTTCTGTTCAGTGCAACTCCTGAAAGCTGTCAAAATTAACGGTACAACATATGTGAGTAAGTGCTACTCACAACAGGTGAGAATTGTGGAATGGCCCTAGAGACAAGTTTTACTTGTTTAGTTTCATTGAGGTCAGGGATCTGTTCCCTCCTGCTTGCTCACAGTCTCTTCCAGAATAAGCAGGGTAGGCATTAAGTCTTGTACAAAAAGTATGTGGAAAGTGTTTTGAACCCCATGTCTTCTCTAAAAGTGACAGCTACTCTTTATGCACAGCAAAAATGCAGAATGTTCACAAGGCTTCCTGAACTTACATACTTACATACAACTTCCTGAACTCCTGTGAGATTTCATGACCCAGGAATTTGGAGAATGAATCACAAAAATCTTCCATAAGGGATACTGCCAGATCTATTTGAAAACAGTATCAATGGTTGCAGAATATTTTTAGAGATTTTTCTTCCCCCAAGTTTTCAATTTTCTTCTCAGCCAGCTAAAAAGCTTAGTGTTCTTTGCTGCTTCAGCTAGCGCTAAGCAGGCTGATGCGTCACAAAAAAATTTCCATGTCAAGGCAGCTGTTTATGGTGAATAGAAGTTAAATGACAAGTTGTTCCAAGAGCACTGGAACAAGTGGAGCCTGATTTTCTCCAGATCTATGTCTCATGATTGACTTTGTTTCCATAACTGGAGCATTTCTTACAATATTTTACTATGTGGACTCATATTGGGTGGTGTGTAGAATCGTTATGCAGGGCTCTCCTCACTGAGATCATAAATCAGAAGCATTTATAGAGTTTCTTCTTTCTTTAGAGTGACTAATTTTTAGGAGGGTGATAAAGGATCATGCTTTTGATACTTCAAGTATTTTCCCATCAATTCTCTGACAAGAGTATTTTAAGATTAGCAAAGGACAGATAAACAGATTGACAGGCAGACACATGCCTACACATACATTGTGATCATGTAAATCCTGTTTCCTTGGGAAAGCATGATAATCATAGCAAATATTATGCAAATGTTACTAAAGGGCATGCAAAACCAGGTTAAATGGATAAGGCAGGATAACTTGAGGAGAAAATGATTAGGAAACAACACAGAATAAGTCATACAGCATGGGGGTTTTGTAATACTAGCAATCAGTGTGCTTTGGTGTTGTTTTAAACAAACATTTGTAAGCTGAGTTTGTTTGGAAACCATGTTAGCTTGTAAAAAAAGTGATGATGCTTTCCTGTAATTTTTTAATAAACAAGATATAAAATATGGTAGTATATTTTTGTCTAATTTGTGATGATGGTTAAACACCTGTGGCTGATATTACCCAGCTACAGAAAACATGTCAGTATTTTGTCTTTTCTGTTACATCAGGCTAACTGCTGGGCCCAGTCTATCTCTGTAAAAGCGCTATATTGTTGTATAGTGAAGAGGCAGTCAGCAGAAACCAAATAATACCTTGGAGTGAAATAATGAGTTTGGTTCTCAGTGGCAACTTTTTGGCAATTGAGATAGATACAAATGTATATATCTAATTTAAGGCCAGGGTACTATGTTGGGCTCTACACAGAAACAGAGCATCGGACCTGGTATGAGTTGGTCTATGTGAGAGACATGGACTGCTAGGTTATGTAAGAGCCTATTATAATTTGCCTCTATGATTTTACTGGCATTGGTCCTCTTGTGAATACTGGTATAAAGGACCTTATTCCTAAACCAGAATAAGTGAAAATAATAGTGTAGATTATTTGTGCACAAGTACATCATGAACACTTGCTGAATGGTTTTAATACTTCACTTAAAGCTTGCCTGCCATGGGCAAGCAATCCATGCAAATCTGTTGTGTAATGAAACCTGTCATTACATTTCTTGTGACCTGTGAGACACGATTTCTGTGGATCACAGTATCTTTCTCTACTGACATATATGCTATGTTTGATGCAATATTTTTTTGTTTTGCAGGTGATTTTCAAAGCGAAGTCAAAATATTCCCCAGAGCTACTGAAATACAGGTAAGAACTCTGTAAACATTTAATGTGATATAGAAGAGTAGCCAAGCTCTTTGAGAAATGATACAACTTTTCTAATTTGTGACACTCATGTCTCAGCTATTCATATTTCTATACTAATGTTTTACAATGATGGTTCTGAGGTCAGCTTCTCCCTGTGACATTTGGGAGACTGTGTCCTTTCCCAACACAAGGGCCGTTTTAGATAGTCACGTATTTCAAAGGCAAATATTTCAAATGCAAGTGGAAAACACCCACCCTGGGGATTTGTTTACAGGTTCTTAACATTTGTATTGCCAGGTAAATTCAGATCCAGGGCTTTGGTAAAAGAAGCAGCGTGATGTATTTCTTTGACAGGAATGAGTAGGAGTGGGTATGTTTTAACACATGAGGTCAGGGGTAATAAGAGACTTAGAAGTTTTGGGAAGATTATAGAAGGATTGTGAAGGGAAAGAGCTAGAGAGAATGGATTCAAATTGATGGTGTGTTTGGGAGCTTACAGATAACCTCCCCTGACTCCATATAGTTGAGTTTATGGTAGCTTTGCATTTAGGTGGGGAGATTTGTTTGACATCTTGTTGAGCAGGAGGAACTCCCAGAAAGTACTTGAAAGTACACCAAATGTCCAGAAAGCTAAGGAAGAGCTCAGTAAATTAAAGTTTATTGTGGCAATGACTAAAAACCTCAGTTGAGCAATGTTGTTTAGGCAGAGGGGACGGAGAGAGGTTGTCACCATTCTAAAGGAAGAATTTACAATATGCATTCAGGATAGGAAAACAGAATAATTTGAAACTGAAATCTGACTTGTTACTTGCTGACTGTTAGGAGAACATAAGTACTGTATCAACAGGGCAAATATTAACATTGTCCTTGCCCTAGAAAGTTTGTCATCCAATTGGTTTTGGTACAGCTGGAGGAGCAATCATCTGGAGCAAGTACTTCAGGAACCATGTCTGGTATAATGGCATTACAAGTGAGAACAGGCTTGGAGTGGGCTGTGCTTGGTCTGGTGAGGGCATGGGACATGCAGGGTGTGATGGCTGCCTCAGGAGTGTGTACTTTAGGCTGAACCACATCTTTGAACCCCCCTTTGCATTCTGTGGGGTTTCTATGGGCAGGAAATCCAGGAGTATGGGCTGGGAGACAAGCACAGCTCTCACTGAACAGGTCCCAGCCAGCTCCCAGGGCAAGTGTGCCAGCCCCTGATGGTGCACACAGGCAAGAGAAACAGCATCGCTTTGCATAAAACCTGGGCTGCAGGTCAGGGTGGTATAGGACTGTGTGGACATGTTCCTGGATGGCTTTAGAGGTGAGAGCTAGAAGCTTTGAACCTCATCCATTACCAATACTTGTATCAAGGCTTTATTCCTGAAAGCTGCTTGAAAATGTCTTTCTTGAGGCAAAGCGAGCTTGTGATATTTAGTCAATGCCTATGAAGTGACTACATTAGCACCCTGCATGTAGCTCTTGTAGTGTTTTCTTTCCTAAATACTTATTATGTATTGTGACTGGAATTACTCATGCACAGTCTACCCTCCCCACAATTGCTCCATGTCCACCCTGACTCTTGCCCACTGCATTTCTAATACAGATCATTCTAGGATATGGTATAGTTTTTCTTTCTTATTCATCTCTGTTGGTGAAGGTTTTCAGTTGTATTTTGTTTTAATATCTAGATCTATCAGCATGAATGTCTAAAAGAGCATATAAATAAAATTGACCTCACTTCCTATCTTATCCTGGACAACTGAAGTGATGTAAGACATGCGCACCCACAGCTGATGTCCTGAACCTTAATTGTAACAGGCTGGTGAAAGATGACTGACTCACAGAGTGGTTTGGGTTGGAAGGGACCTTTTAAGATCATCTAGTCCAACCCCTGTCCTTTGGGCAGGGACATCTTTCATAAGATCAGGTTGGGAGGGAGAAATGGGTGATGGATCATAGAAAGATCCGAGGCTTACAGACAGGTCTGTAGTCTGTACTTACTGAATCTGATTTTTCTTCATTTCTGAATTTACACTCTGATTTCCCCCACCCCCTCCCATTTTCTTTAATAATTATCAGACTTTATTGCCTGGTATTTGCATTTTGCAATAGATAATGGCAACACAAATGGGACAACTGCAAGGTAGGACTGTGATCTGCGTATTGACACAGGTCTCAGAAATCAGAATTATTTTAGGTACAAAAAAAAAATTGATAAAATTCTATCAGGAATCCAGAATTTTAAGCAAACTTTACTCATCACAGCCTTCATGATGTTAGTAAGAGAGCTCAGGGTAAAGCCTGTGCCAGCCCAACTTGATATTTAAACAGTACCTCTGCATGTCTCCCTGGGCTTGGATATTTCTTACTGTCACTGGATTTGGATGAGGTTTGCTGTGCTATGTGTGCATGTGCAAGCCTCAGACACTGCATGGTTTAAGAGGAAACGACATACAAAACGCAGTAGTTGCAAACAGATTTTCCTGTTAAACAAGGGAAATCTCACTGCATTTATCTGAGGTTTGATTTTAAGCTCAAAGAAAAACTTATGGGTGCCTCCAGCCTGCCATAGAAAGAAGAGAAGACTCTGGCACATGCCTTCCCCAGCCAAACCAGATTACACACAGCTCCTTTAAAGGGACTATTCCCAAAGTGGTGATTAGGCACAATAGGCTTTTGAACTTTCGCTTGCACTTTTGCTGATGCAATCTGGAAGCACCTCTCCTGCCCCACTTTTCTGTTTTCTAAAAAACTGCCTATGCTTCTTAATGCCTTGTAGGTGCCCTTGTAGTTGAGCTGTAAAGATACTTTCTGCCTTTAATCTGCAGCTGCTGAGACCCTAAAACTGCCCTGAGACACCCTGCATCTCCATCAGTGCTTATTCATAAGTTCAGCAACAATACTTCTATTGTTAAATCAAGCAGCCGTTTCCCTGACACATCATGTTAATAAGGGGGCTGGGAGATCATTATGTGAAGAGCTGCACAAGTGACTGGCCATGAGAGCTCACCCTGGCACGTACAGGAGTGTGTGGACAAGAGAGCATGACAGTGCTTTAGTTCTTACTAAACTCTGTCAAGGAGGAGCCTGGCTTGGAAACCTCTAAGCCCTTGGTAGTTGCAAACCAGCTTGATGCTACATGCAGGCATGCAGCCTGTGCTGCAGCAGGAGGCCCTTCTGACTATGATGAGCAAAAAGAGAGCAGGTACTTACTGTTGCACAAGCAAGGCAGCATGTAATAGTGTACCTTTCCCCATAAGCCCAAATTCCCACCAGGGGAGTAGAGATGAGACTGTTAAATAACCTCTGAAAGGGAAAGGAAGATACTTGACCACTATTTAAAGACTTTGAGACACTAATAAAAGCTGTAAATGTACCACCATTACAACTGGGAACTACATTGTCTGGAGGAAGCCGTGTAAGAGAGGAGCTTCAGGACTGCAATGCTTCCAGCATTAGACTAGGAGGTTTGAAAAACTACATTCTCCTGCTGCTTATCCTAAAAACAGAACCCTGCCCTGGAAAGTTAAGAATGAGCACAATCTTCCCCTGAGAGGGAATTTCCGTTCCTGGCAAGGAAAAAACATCATCCTTGCTCACTGCCAGATATAACCATAAAGAAGGGCATTGATTCACAAGCAGCGGCTTTTGGGCTTTCAGTTCCCTCTGTTAGACATTTAAAAGGTCTCAAAGATATACACCCTCCTTTCTTGCACTCTGAAGAGAAGCCAGCTATGCTTCAGCTTTGTAGCTGCATTGATGCTAAACCAAAAGAATCACAGAATCACAGAATATGCTGAGTTGGAAGGGATCCAAAGGATCACCAAGTGCAACCCTTAGCCTTGCACAGGACCATCGCTGAGTCACACCATGTTCCTGAGAGCATCATCCAAATGCTTCTTGAAATCTGTCAGGCTTGATGCTGTAACCACGTCTCTGGGGAGCCTGTTCCAGTGCCCATATCCAACCTAAACCTCTCCTGGCACAACTTCAGGCCATTCCCTTGGGTCCTGTCACAAGTCACCACACGGAAGAGATCAGTGCCTGCCTCTTTGCTTCCCCTCACACGGAAGTTGCAGACTGCAATGAGGTCTCCCCTCAGTCTCCTCTTCTTTTTGGCTGAACAGACCAAGTGACCTCAGCCACTCCTCATAGGGCTTCCCCCCAAGGCCCTTCACCATCTTCGTCGTCCTTCTTTGGGCACTCTCTAATAGCTTAATATCTTTCTTATATTACAGTGCCCAAAACTGCACAAAATATTCAAGGTGAGGCTGCCCCAGTGCAGAACAGAGTGCAACAATCCCCTCCCTCGACTGGCTGGCGGTGCTTTGCCTGATGCGCCCCTGGACACCAGGGCACTGCTGACTCATATTCCACTTGCCATGTACCAGGATCCCCAGCTCCCTTTCTGTGGCACTGCTTTCTAGCATCTCATTCCCTACTCTGTCTGTATGTTCAGGGTTGTCCCTTCCCAGGTGCAGAATCCAGCACTTTCCCTTGTTGAACTTCATATGGTTGGTGATTGCCCAGTCTCAAGGTCTCTCTGCAGGACCTCCCTGCCTTTGAGGGAGTCAACAGCTCCTCCGAGTTTTGTGTCATCTGCAAACTTGCTTAGTATCACCTCCAGTCCTGCATCCAAGTCATTTATCAAGACGTTGAAGAGCACAGGGCCTAAGACGGAGCCCTGTGGAACCCCACTGGTGATTATAAATGAAAAGAATATGAATGTGTGAAAGAAAAAGATGCCCACTGGATAAAGTATTTTTAAACAATCAGAACTGGATTCCTCAGGGAGAATCTATATTTGCTGTCAGCCAAATTCCAAGTTCCCAGCAGGCATGAAAAACTGTGGCCAAAATCTCTTGTTCAGTGACTGCAGATTATGAACCTTATGAGTAATTGCCTTGGTCAGCAATGATAATGAAGTCAGCAAATACCTGAGATGGAAACATGCCTTTTTTTTTTTTTCCTTAAGTGCAAAGCTCCCCAGCCTGTGTAGGAGTAAAGAGGAATTAGAAGCAGCTTTCCTGGAGTATGTGGTATACTCATATTGCCAGGTATCAGTGCTGGGTAGATGGGAAAAAAAAACAGATGGAGAAAACCAGTCCAACTCCTGGGCTTATATTTGTCGTGTTTCTGTTCCAGCTCTGCTTCTGTGGTTGTGGAAATGAACCTTTCTTTAGGTAGTGATGGCAAAATGCCAACCCAGAGTCAATATGCATAGTTAAATTCATTGATGTCTCTTTCAAGAAGTTGACTGTGACCAAATTATTTAGGAAAAGGGAGGACAGAGAGAGATGCTATGAAACCAGTAACTCAGAGATTTTTCCTGCTGTTAGACACTTCCCTAATTTAATATGAAATCTGATGGCAAACATCAGCAGTCAGTGATGCTTCTCATGGCAGCAGTGATGTAGTAAATCCAATCCATGGTCAAAAACAGTCCATTCCATGTAATTAAACCTTTTGAAAGGTTTCTCCTGGCAGTGAGTATCCAGATGGCTTATGCTGTGTATGAAGTACACGCTCTAATTACATGTGTATTTAAAGCAGTTTTTAAGACCAGTGCTTTTGTATTTCTGCTGCAAACAGTCTTTCACATTTTGCTGCTTGATATTAGTTTTTTTTTCATTACAGCTTGTTGTGTAACTGTAAAAACATGTTTGAAATGAGCTAGGTTAATCTCTTCAGCAATCTGGAGCACTTTGATTTGGGCTCAGGCAGCTGGTTACTCTGTCAGCTGTGGCAGCCCAACACATGCAGATTTCATTGCTCAGAGTGCAACTTTTGTCTCATGACTGACACTTGCTGACCAACGACACTAAAATTGTTTTCTCCTCGCTCTCCCAGGTTGCCCCTCTACCTGGCTTCTCTTTTCATAAGTCTCCTCTTCCTCTTGGTGAATTTAACATGCGCAGTACTGGTGAGGACACAGAATTCAGAAAGAAAAGTCATTGTCTCTGTTCGGGTGGCAATTAATGACACGTTGTTTGTGCTGTGTGCTGTTTCACTCTCCATCTGCCTGTATAAGATCTCCAAGATGTCTTTAGCCAACATTTACTTGGAGTCCAAGGTAAGGTACATTTTCAGTTCTTTTCAAGTACCTTCTGAGAGACAAGGACAGTGTGATATAAAGCCACACAGTTCTTTAGATTCCCTGAGAGCTGGAGGCCTTAAACTTCACAGCTATCACTTGGCCGGCCATCCTGTTCAATATATGAATTAAATACTAAGTGGTATCAAGGGAGCTTCTGGCTAGCATTAGAAATCCCAAATATTTTTGAGGCAGAGTTTGTAGAACTTATTGGCTGGAGTATATCACAGTTCTTTTTCAAGTGGATACTGCTTTCTCCAGATCCCTGTTTGAAGACCAGTTTATTTCAGTATTGCTAAATAGAAGTGGCCTATACTTTGGGATCCTTCAGCTTGTCAAATCATTGATTAAGTTAACTGTCTAGGGTAGCAGCATGCTGAAGATAAGCCAGAGAAATATGAATCTCCCTTTATACATTTGTGTATTGTCCTATAGATAATGAAAATATGTTTTAGAAGACTTAATACATTATAATTTAGCCAACTGGGGAGAAGGGATAAAAAGTTTTCCCTATTACTTTACAGAACATTCTTTAAAGAAATAATGTTAGTTTTACAGCTTTGAACACATTAAGTGGTCAAGGAGCTGGGTGGGATCACATGAGCATGCAGGATTTATTATATAATCAGTGAAGATGTTTTGTATCTATAAATAATGAAACAGGGCTTTCAAAGGTCCTTGCATTTGCAGTAGACAGTTAAATCTTAAATTATTAGTTTAACTAATTGCCATTACCACAACGAACCTTTGAAAAATGTTTCAGCTGTTATTTAGAAAATCTGATAATAAAATTCCTCTCTCCATTTACTTAATCCGATGAAATAAGTACATTTCCTGTTTAATCAAATCTGGCCGTACTGCACAACAACTGAAAGTTCAGGGTTGAATAGAAGATTTAAAAACACGGCTTAGTTTGTTTTGTTTCTTTCAAACCTGTCATTTGCTGACCAAAGGGCACGGGCAGTGGATTATTTTTACTAGTAAGAAGAGTTTTTCTGCTCCTGCAAGTCACAGAAATATAAATCTCTGTAAAAAAGCAGTGTTAACCTAAGGGAGGCTTTGGTAGACTACTTTGTTCCATTTCCTCCTCCTACAGGAAACCCAATCTTCTTTACTTCAAGCTATTTCACAAAACCCAAACAAAATCTTATATTATTGCAGACAGGAAAGGATAGAAGACTCAGCTGAAGAAAGTTTGAATGTGGAAATGAGAATCAGAGGGTGCTTTGCTCCTTTCTGCTGGCCTGAAATGGGAGTTCCTCTTGGGGATTTCCAGTAGGGTTTGACTGCACATATTTTAGGGATACGGATGGCTGGAACTGGCAGTGAAAAAAAACCCTGCTTTTATCTGTTACTGCTATGCCAAAAAACTAACTAAAGAAGAAAAATCCATTCTCTGCAGTGATACAACAGAAATAATGTTGGAGATAAGGCATGCTCTGTGGTGCACAAAGATAGGCATCAGTGCTTCAGTGCTGATGGCCTTTTACTTGCATCTCCCATCTGCTGGCATGTACCATCTGACCACATGTGAAACCACATCCATCTCTGTGACCTGGCATGGGGGACCATCCTGGTTCTCTGTGCGAAGGCAACAACTGCACCAAGGAGATGCACAGCCCTACCCTTAGGTGCTGACTTGGGCCAGCTCTGTGCTGGCCAAAAGCATTCTGTTGTGGGACATGCTGCCAACTTGGGGCTCCCCCTCTTTTCTGCAGGGTCCTGTGGTTGAAAAAGGATTCCTCTGGCTTTACTTTCACTGCTGCGCTCTTACTTCCCTAGTCCACTAAGTATATTTGACTGGCAGCAAAACCAGGACACTTTTATCCCCTTTTTTGTATCTGGTGGGATGGAAGTTTGGTAAATCTCTAGCATATTTAACTATTAACTATTAAAGAATGACAGCTATGTAGGGAAATCTATTCAGGGAAATACTGACCCCGTTCTGCTCTTCACTTCTGCTATCCCCAGTCTGTAAATGCCACTGACTGGGATATGGTATGTGCCAGTCAGCAGCTTCTCTCTGCTCTCTCACCCTCCGTTTCCATGACAGCATCACTGACTTGTTAGTGTCGAAGGAGAACAGAGAAGTGCCTAGCAAACATTTCCTCTTTGAGGCATTTCTGGCTTTCTGGTTTTGTCACAGCTTTCACCACTGCCTACTATGGATCTGGCTTCAATTGCTGTGTAGCAGCAGCCTCTTGGCTCACTCCTGTCATGGCTGCAGGTTGTGGCCTGGTGAGAGGTGATAGTTCCAGCATGTTGTAAGCAGGAATTCAGAGACATTGACTGCACTGGGGATTCTGTAATACTTCTGAGCTTGACTGTTTCCTGAATCAATGCTATTTTGCTGGGAAAATAGGCAAGCTAGTTTTATGCAAGCTTTTCTGATTAATCCCTGAGCTACTCACACTCATTGGGGAGTGCAGACTGAGGAACTGGGTTGACAGAGCCACAGGGGCAATAGCCAGCAGCATGGGTGAGCAGCAATGGAGCCCTGGTAGTCTCCTGAAGGCCAGGAATTCAGGACATAGTGCCTTGGTGACTTTCCCTGATACTTCACTAGCTATTCTACTATGTCTGATTTACCTGCTACAACACTTGGGACCTTTGCTCCTTGGCTGCAAACCTGGAAGCAGAATGTGTGAGCGGAGGGAACAGGATGCAGACTTTCCAGTCTCCAGCACTGGTATAAATAATACTGTGGTGGGAGGAGCAACTTGTCTCTTGGCCTCTCTCATTCTCACAGAAATGAGAGGAGCCTGTCCTCCTTGTGTGGGTGTTTGCCAGGAGGAGAGGGCAGGGCTAGTGAAGCAAAGGGAACTTGCTTCTAAAAGCACACAGAGCTTTAACCCATCTTCCCTCCTTTGGCTGGGCAAAGCACTGTTCCAGAGCTAACTGCAAAAATGTTGAGCTTCTTTCAAAGCCAGTCACATTTTTGTACATCTGCCTGCTCTGTGATCAGCCTCATACAGATTCGTGTAGCCGTGGCTCCTGGATTCCTGCCTTTCTTCCTGCTACAACTGCTGTGCTGGTTTCTCAGCCCCAGGCAGTGACCCTCTCCACATAACACAGCAGTCAGCTATCTCACTTACTCCTCTCACTGATGATTAGGCTCTTTTCCCTTCTCAGTCGAGTTTTCTCTCTAGGGCTTAGGAAGTGTTGTGATTTCACACTTGTAGTCCCATCCCTCCCCTTGTGCCCAAGCTGCCACTGAGACTGCCCTGCCATGGTCACTGCCCACAGGCCATGCTTCCACTTGGTCTGTCCCCTCTGTGTTGACATTAGTTAAGGCAGGATGTTCTGTTCCTGTCTGTGCTGTGTTTAACTGCTGACTGTTATGACCTGCTCTTTACTTAGGAAAGAGGAACATAGCAAGTAGTTGTAAAAAGATGCAAGGTTGCATCATGTTAGCTAGCCAGCACCTGATACAGGATGCTCTGTAGCTAATGCAGACCTGAAGGCTGAATTCTCTCGCTCCACCTGATACCAAGTGTGGTTCTTATGTGTTTTCATGGCTCTGAAAATAGCACTTGTTCACTAAATTGTAGGAAGCAGTCGCAGCCCATTTTGCTAAGGGCTGGAACTGCTACAATTGCCTGGAAACCACTGTACCGACAAAATACAGGAATATACATAGTATAGGATATACTGACCAAACAAGGAGAGGAAAAAGTCACTTGCATTAGACAGTGTGACAACCCTCGAAGTCCCTGGAAAACAATGTTGCTCTCAACTTCTCTTATGGATAATAACCTGTGTTTAAATCTCTTCCAGGGCTCATCTGTCTGTCAGGTGACAAGTATAGGAGTGACAGTTATACTACTTTATACCTCACGAGCCTGTTACAACTTGTTCATCCTATCGTTTTCCCAAACCAAGAAAGTCAACTCTTTTGATTATGATTGGTACAATGTATCAGATCAGGCAAGTATGAAAATATTTGCTAATGAGAAAATCTCATTCTGTATGTGATGATTGATTTCTTAAATGCTATGACAAGACGAATAAATATATTCAAGTTCTATTATTTTTTTCTTTTATTCAATACCCTAAGATTGTTTTGCTCCGGAAATGCAAATTTCTGGTGATTTTGGTATAAGGAGAATAAAAAGAAAGAAGTAATGACCAGCCAAATATTTTTTTTAATCAATTTTTTATTTACCTTGATCTTATTGTCCAAAGAAAAAGTACTCTTTATTAAAAAAGACAGGTATCTTGTCCATTATTTCTGCTTGAAGAAGCAGAAAAACAGTACTTAATTCCAGTGAAATGCTCAGTTCTGAAATTATCATAAAACCTCCCATTGCCATCCAGGCTGTGGAGCTATTTACCTTAATTCTGTCATTAGCATGACAATTTCTGTACTTTGAGGATAAGGCTAAGATTCTTCCTAACCTTTAATTACAAGTGACAATTTTGATTGAAAACTAATAGTGACAAAAACACTAAAGGAAATAATGGTGGATTTTTTTTTGAATTTTATGAAATTTGGACATCTAGCTTCTTTCTCTGCTTTGAAACATATAGTTAGGTCCCAGTATTTTTCCAGCTATGTCAAGGCTAGGCAAAATGGCAGGGCTGGGTCTCAATCATGAGTATCTTTTCTTTTGCCTCAAAATCTCAGACACTTGATGTCTCCCCACTCTCTCAGCAAGCACCTGCAGACAAAAAGCAGCGTTCCCAGCCGTGCAAGGGCCTTGTACTGCCAGGGTGGCCAAGCAAACCTGGAGCCATTAACAACTATCTGTTAAGCAGTAGATAAAACTGTAATTCAGAAGTAGGTAAACAGTAGGATAGGATTGCCCAGGGGACCTCATTATGAGTTAGTTGAGCAGGGTCTGTCAAGGGACCTCTAATCAACCCTGCTGAGGGGTAGAGGAGGGCAGCTAGGAGTTGCCAGTCTGTGTAATTAAAATACACAGGTTTAGGCAGAAAGGCACTAGGCTCTGACTTGTCTCCTGAATCAAACATTTTCCCTCTTCTTGAGGCCTGGAGTGTTGCTGCTGCTCCTGCTGACCCCTTGCAGGGGACAATTCTTGTGCTGACTCCTGCAGTCTGGAGCAAAAGGGTTGGAACTTTATGGCCAGACTACTTGTCCTGTTTCTCTGGTGGAGACAGAAGTTGTTCGTAGGGAGCTCAATGGAATGCTTTAGGCCTTGGGCCACTACTATATTTTTTGAATGTCTGTTCTGACTTGTGACATTAGAGCTGCATGAATTTTGGAGTAAATTATTTGAACTATATGTAAAGGGTCTGGAACACAGGAGCGGGTACTCAATTTGGTACTAGAATCAAAAGTAACTTTTAAAATTACAGCCCAGTGTTTGTACTTTGGTATAGCCTCAGGTCACCAGTCAGAAACACCCTTTCCTCTTCTGTCCAAAACACATGAAAGGACAGGATTTGCCCTCTGTTGCTATAGGGAATGGTGGAAATCTAGAGAGAAGATCAAAGGTAATGCTACAGTAACAGCAGGGTTATTCAAGCTTACAGTGTGCACCAATTTGAAGAGAGACAACCCTTTCATTTTTAAAAGCAATGCCCTGGAACACTGATTGTTCCTTTACTATTATTTCCAGCTGTAAAAGGACTGGAAAACTAGTTTCTCATTACTGGATTTGGTTACTTAATCAAATGGTTGCTTGCTGGGCTTTTAGACTGGGAAGACCCTTGTATTAAACTTCCATTTTACTGAAAGAAAGATAGGAGGAGGAAGAAAGGTAGAAGGAAAGGGAAGTCATGTACCCAAGATAGCATATTGCTTTTTCTAGTATGCCTTTAATCATTAGCCAGGTTAATGTGACTCTACTGAATGGAATTTCTGGCCATATTGTCAAGCATTTCAGCCACTTAAATACAGAACTTCATAAGAAAACACATTGCATCCTGGACCTTTAAATGAGCCACCAATTTTATTTGTAAACACTTTTCTCTTTTACTTTTCAATAGGCAGATCTGAAATGTCAGCTGGGAGATGCAGGTTACATAGTATTCGGAGTGATCCTTTTCATCTGGGAGCTCTTACCTACTTCCTTGGTTGTGTATTTCTTCCGTGTCCGAAACCCTACAAAAGATCTAGTAAGTGGAATGTGTTAGGGTATTTGTTAGTGTAATGTCCAGATAAGTCTGGAGGGCTCGGCTTCTGAAGGAGCTTTTGTTTATTTACATTCTGATTTCTCTTTTTCAAAGTGTCCTTGACAGAATAAAAGCAACCCAAACTTCCCACTTCTTTATGCTAACTCCTCATGAAAGAAGCTCATCAGATTTACCAAGGAGGAAGGCAAGGTGTTTCTCAGGCATTTTACCCTAAAAATCAGGAACCTTCTTAAATTTAGCAACATCTTTCCCTAAACTTAAAAGTTTCTACAGCACTTTACTGGAGTCAGTGGAAAAGGAGTTTGTTATCCAAACTTGGGATGTTTCATCACATGGCAGTGAAAACCGTTGTGTGCCAACTGTTCAATGGTATGTGTGAAATAAGAGATGGAATTATTTCAGCCATGGAATTGTTTCTAAGTCAAAGAGCAGTGGCCATAACAAGCACTTGGTGCCTTGTTTTGCCATTTTAGCAGAGCAGAGATTAAGGTGTGAGTTGTAAGCATAATTCCCTGTAAGTATTCTTAATATCTAGGTAGTTAATATATGGACAAGCATCTTTTTATAGCTGTAGGCAATGTCTCCAGGTTAGCATAGGACATGCTGGCTGACAGGCACGTGGGGAATACCAGCCGTGTGCTAGGATGACTGAGGTAGTGTCTCTCTTTGTGTAGGCCAAGCCAAACCAAAGCTAGTAATCCCAAAAAAAAGATGTCAATGGTAAACACATAAGTAAGAGAAGCAAATAATAGAATAACTTTTTGGACAAGGTGATGGTTTTATTCTCATATGAACATTTCAGAGACAATGATGAAACCAAGCTGAACAAGAAAGTGATACCTGACGTTGCACTAAGAAACCCCAGGGACTCCAGTGTCCATCACCAAAAATACCTCAGCCCCACTTCTGCTTAGGACAGGACAACTGCCAAGACAAGAAATGTTTTTAAGTACAGCCCAGTGGTGCTGCTCTTCTAAAAAGTGACCACAGAGAGATCTCATTTTATTTAAACTGAGTTTAGTAAGGCTAGACCTGGTGGACAAGTTTGGATAGTGTGTGGGAGATCACAAGAGTATGAAAATAAGGGATGCGGTCTAATCACTCCTTTCAAGAAGCTGCTCATATGAAGACTGGGAATCCTACTCAAATAAGAGTTCAAATGGAGTCAGACAGTATTCTCACAAGTCAAAGAGCACTGCAGTAACACATATAACATTATATTTCTGCACTGTGATTTGCAGAAAGCCTTAAATTTCCAACTTCATAAAGATACAGTTCAGAAGAGCCAGTCAGTGATATCACTTCTTTCATAGGTACCTTTTTTAGGGTAGACATTATCTGTCGTATGTGTTAGGTCATGTATAGATTTTTTTCTGCATATGACAAATATTAAGAGGAAAACCAGAAGCAACATTAGAATGAAACAAAAAATTAAGAGACTGTAGCAAGGGAAAACTGAACCTTCAGTGCGAGGATGCCACAAGAGGGAGACCAAGGGCCGCAGGACTTTAGGCTAATGCGTTCAGGAGGCTGTTAACGGTTAAGTTGATACTTATTGAAAATACTTAGTCAGAAAGCATGGTATTAGAATTAAAACAAACCCTCCTTTAGTTAAAAAAACCTTAACAACAACTTTGATTTAGTAAAAATCCAAAATATTCTTTATTTTTAATAAGGAAAAACCCCGAGAAATAGTTGTTCTTAGGTTTTATGTTTCATTCAGGACTTCAGAAACAAGAAGTTTGAGTAGAAGCATCCTGCGTTCAGCGTTGTTCAAACGTGAGGCTCCTTTCCACAGACGATTATAGCCTAGAAGGAGCTGTCTGCCAGCTTTGGTGCTTACACAGGGTCACTGCAGCGTGTGGCCCTTTGCCTTTCCTTACCTTCAGTCAGACAAATGTTGTAAATGGGCACACGACAGAGATGTACCTATCTTTACTTCATCTCTATCAAAGTTATTTAATATCTAAAATAAAGGGGGAGATTAATGCTCTCCTGCCTAAGGCCAGGGAGAAGATGTCTTCCTGGCTTATCCACAGGTGCAGGGAACCCTGTTCCCAATGGATGGAAGCAGTGGATCAGTGGATAAGGCTCAGCTGGGTTCTAGATGTTCCTCTGCACTGTTTCCAGAATCAAACTGACCTTTTGAATCTTGTATATCTTTTGTTTTGATTCATAGGGAAATAAAAGGAAAATGCTTTGTAAATAAAGGAGCTACATGTACACCCCTTTCTCTGTTTTATTAAAGGACCTGACCTTGGGCTTTGACCCTCACAGCACTATAGAGTAGATACTGAAATTGCTCAGCGAGGTCCTAAGGGATTTTTCAAGCACAGTTTCACCAAGCAGGGTGCCAAGCTTCAAATCATCCATCCCTGAGGCAAGGGACATAAGGCACCAGGAGACAGTGTGACCAATGTGGGAGGTAAAATCAAATCTCTTTAGGTGTTTCATATTCTTCAGCTTCTCAGCTGCTTCCCTACTGCTCACTTCAAGTCAGCTGGCTAAAAGCACAAAGTGCCAAAGGATGGACAGAATTCAGCAGACAGATTAAACACAGACTGGAGGGTGGTTTCAGAAATGGGTCATGTGTTAAAAAAGAAATGAGGATAAGGAGAAGCTGTTGAGATCAGTAGACTATCATTATACTGATAGAGACATACAGAGAATGCAAAATTATTTCTATTGTGTACAGCAAATGTTAAATTGTCTGCTTTATTTTGGAAACCAGGAGGTAAGTCTGCAGTGACTTCGTTTAGAAGTCAAGCACCAAGAAGTTTATCCATCTGGTGCAAGTACTGACTGAGGTTTCCTTTCCCTCAGGCCAATGCAGGAATGGTCCCAAGCCATGGCTTCAGTCCCAGATCTTACTTCTTTGACAACCCTCGCAGATATGACAGTGATGACGATCTAGCGTGGAACATTGCGCCACAGGGGGCACAGGGCAGGTGAGATACAAGAGGGAAGTGCTTACTTCCTGAAACAGAAACTGGAGGAGGAACAACTCTGACACACTGCAAAACACTGATGTAAATTGTCTAGCTGCAATTGTTGCATAAATCCCAGGGAGGGCGAGGGGAAGCAAATGGGGAAGTTGAAGTGGAAAAGTAGCACTGAGTGACTGTAGGGATCATTCACTAGAATGAAAACAGATACATAATTTAAGAATGGCAGGAGCATGCTGTGCTTTGAAAAATGCAGGTCAGATCTTTGGGTTGCATGTTTCACCCTCTGTTTCTTCCAGGAGTGGCTTTTAAGAAGTGCCATTTACTCATTCAAGTGTGTGAGCAATGCAGCCTAGAAAAACAGCTGTCTCCCTGCTCAGGGGGAGCAGGAAAGAGCTCAACAGCACAGGCAGCAGCTTGTGATGGTGGCAGTGAGAAGCCTCTCAACTTAGGTTGCCCTGTAACATGGCTAAATGTCTTGAGGGGTACCTGAAATGAAAGGAGCATTTGCTTTCCCACATGCTGAAAGCTTAGGAAAATCCACCTAACTGCTGAAACCCCACACCACCCAGAGCTGGCATAAAAATTCAATTTGTGCAACTGGGAGCTTTAGGTAAGGATTCCTGTCCAGGAAGGAGCAGCTCATGCCAACAATGATAGCACCTAATTCAGAGAAGGAAAGGCACTTCCAGGACTCTATCCTGTTCTGAAAGGAGGCTCAGGCATTTGCTGTTCCTGTATCTACACTATGCCAGGAGTAGATTAGCATAATCACTCATCTTAAAATGCCAGCTAACTTGTTAATCATAGGTTACATACCCAGATCTAGTTCTTATCACTCATTTAGCTAAGACTGTGTGGTCACTGTCTCTGAGCCCAGACTATGGTTCAGTAAAGTTAAATACTCACTATTTACAATTATCAATCATCCTACCCCTGCATTCATTAGTTTTTCACTTAGTAACTAGACCCACGAGGATGCTGGAGGTGGTGTTTGCCAATCTGGTATCCAGCTCAGAGCTAGAGGCACCGTCCCCTCCCACACAGAGCCATCAGGGAACCAGCCACACTGGTAACATGCACGGATCCCAAATGGGAACCAAGCCAGCCACATAGATTGTCTCACACTGCTCATGGGAGAAATGCCAGCACCCCAGAGCTGCTAACCAGTCACAGTCCCTTGGGCATGGACACAGGAGGTTTAGGTCTGTCACTAACAGGCCTCACAGTGCCAGGACTTGGCAGGGATGAGTGGCATCATTTCTGGGATTTTCAAACACCTTCTGGAACAATGAGTCAGAAAGGAAAGGGTCTTTAGTGAACTGGGAGAATCAGGAAACACGTAATAAGTTGAGAACACTTGAGCCAAAATAATAACAGATCAGAAAAATAAACAGCTGCCTGAACCCCTGGTTGAGGGTATATCTTATTTTTGCACTTCAGCATGAGAACCTCCTCTATGTGATTTGCATTTTTCCCGCAGGTATCTACAGAACCAACCAGGTTCTAATTAGTGCCAGGCACTAATTGTTCTGTTTTCTTTCTAAGTTTCTCTCCAGACTACTACGACTGGAGCCATCAGAACAACAGCTTCATGGCTTACATAGGATCCCTTCAACAAGATCCAGCACTGGACACAGACCGGCCAAGCCCTGTATAACATCAATCAACTACAGCATTCCAAGACATTCCGATATTAAAACCGATATTCTGAAAAACAAAGCTTAGCAACTTTTCCTCACCTTTTCGGTTTTTAGAAGCATTCCTATGCACAGATAAATGAAGAACCTTGCCACGAGCTTTCCATAGTTCAAGGAGAAGTATAAGCTAATGATTTAAAGTTTGAAGACTGTTCCAATTAATACCTTGTTCCAAGCCATGGTGTTTTTGGCTTTGAATAGAGTTGTTAGAAAGTATAATTTAATCATTTTAATGCTCATTTTAAAAGAGCAAATTTCATGAAGTGAAACAGCATAATTATTTTCTAAGTATTTTTATTTTTACACTGTGTACTAGGTTAGAAATATATGATTATGATGAATATACTGTAAACACATGAATGGGTTTTTCAAATGCATGACAGTTGCAATTCTTACATGCACATAAAAGCCTGTAAGGAAAAAATACCAACCCAATTAAATACTGTATTTTCAAGTTACTGCTAGGTTCTCAGAGCACAATTTATTCCTTGGATATCACTGCTTACTCAGTGTGGCATGATAGTTGGAGGCTAAAAGTGATCTGTACACCACTTTCTTCTAATAAAGTAGGAAAACTGTATCTTCTTAGCAGATCTAGGGACTGTCACAGAAGAGTAAAGATGGGCATTTGCTCCAAGTGGAGCATTGTGAACTGCAAAACAGCCTGAAAATGTCTATGTTTGAAAAATTAAAGTTATGTGATCCTCTCCATCAATTAGATCTAGGTATATTATGTAGAAGAGTAAGTCAAAGGCCTGGCCAGGGAGAGGGATATATCTAACAGTATGTACCTGCCTAATTATTTATCAAAAACCCGAGAAGTGCAGTCTGGGAATAGAACAAGAGCAAGGAGTATGTAAAGCAAAAAAACCTGGAGTGCACCTTTCTACATAATGAACAGAAGGTCAGCAAAGCTGTGCTTCAGCCTTTTATCTTCAGGGGTAATGTAGTGGGTTGTGGTGCAAATGCTGGATAAATACCATTTCAGGATGCAAAATTTGCACAGAGCAAGCATAGAAGTAATTATTACTAATCCAAGGCAAACAGAAACCCTGAATTTACTTCAGGTCCTTTTATTGTGCCCAGTGCTCGATGGTGAAGAACTCTGCAGCCCTACTGTCTTTCTCCTTCCCCGTGTAAAACAAATACTGTAACTCAATCCACACATCACTTGAGAAAAATGTAGTACTTCTAGCAATCTTTACTAGATTACTAGAATAAAAGTAGCTCCTTCATTTTGAGGTGTACTACAGTAGCCCCAAGTGGTGGACAGGCTTCATGTTTTCCTCATGCTCAACTTCAGGAAGCCCAAGTAATCCAGAATTCTTATGTACATTTCGCCAAGTATCTACAGGGGAAAAAACGAAGGAATGGGGAATAGATCTGATCAGATCTGCTTGAAAGCCAAAAGCATAGTAGTGCCACACTCACACATTGAGTCTTCCACAGGTTCTTTGGTCTTTAGGGTCTTCAAGTCAAAGCATGAACCTTGCCTCCAGCAGAAGTAAACTGTTTGCCCTCCCAAAGCTTCCATTGCCTTGTTCACGCATGTGCATTGAAGAAAAGCCAATTAAACTATCAGTAAGAGATTAAAAAAGGTGCCACGGGGTTGAGAGAACAGAAATTTTATTAAACCCTTTGAAGTTCTACAATCATGTTCGTACAAAACTTCCCCAAGACCTAGTGCAAGAGAAGTCTGCAGGAATTACATTTCCCTCACAGAATATACAACTGCACAACAAAAACTTAAGAGAATCTTGCACTTAAAAACAAGCTTAGTCCCTATACCACAGTATATGCATGCAAAAAAGTGGAATGACAAGTGACTATAACCAACCATAGTAACGAATTAAATACTCTCAAACACAAGAGATTTAAACAACACTGACAGGTAAGACCTTAAATTTAGATTAAATCACTATAATTATCATCACCTGTGTAACAGGTACTTACCCACCTAAACTGGGGATGAAATATGTGTATCAAATTTTTAGTAAGATAATTTGTTAAAAATGCATACATGGAAAGAAACAGAGAACTGCAGAAACCCTTCAGGGAAATAATTTCAACACAAAGAATCCCATTGGGTGAACCAACCAAAAACATTATTTACAGATCTGATTTTATAAGCTATTCTGAAAAAGGGACAGAACAAGCTTCATTTCAAAATAAGCCTTTTTGTCTCTTAAAACAATTGGTCTTAAAGAGGGGTTAATGGATTTCTGATGTGCAGACACACTACAGTGCACTGTAAACAGCAACAGATACACAGGTTACCTTCATCTTTTGAATGAAAGTGAAGTGAGATGAAAATCTGCTCATCATCTTAAGCTTAAATGAATGTCATAAAAATAATGTAATTTATATAATATCTACCAAGTATAGTTGAAGGGTAAATGAAAAGCAAAAAATGTATTTTCAAATGAAACCCCAAAAATTACATTCACAAAAACAAGTTGTAGCAGAAAATACTTTAATTTGCATCTTGTAGATTCAAACATAGCAAAGATTCAGAAGTGTTTAGATCTCAGTAAGCAGTTTGAACATTGGTTTTGATTTTAATAAATATTACATTTTAATAGGGTAGCTATATGGAGAAATTGGAAAGTGATGAATTGCTGATTGCTACTTTATAAACATGAGCATCAAGATTATTTACAACACATTACAGGTCATTTCCCAGAAAAGCACAAAGCAAGGTCAGAGAAAGGCAACCCAACCATCAAAACACAACTCAAGAAAGTGTGGCACAGTGTATTTCATGCACATATAATGACAGACAGCACAGCTCATCAGCTGAAAAGTAAGAAAACACTTATTATTCCAGCTTACACAAGTCTCTGTATTTCATTGTTTTAAATCTATATTCTGACCTTTCTCCTCAATTGAAGAGTAAGTTGTTCACAACAGTGCTCTACTTTTTACCTATGCAGTTTGCACCAAGTCTTTTTTTACCATTTCACACAAGTCTTCTTGACTTAGGAACAATTAAACATTTTTGTCTTTGTCTTCTCGCTACCTCTGGGATTACAATCATTTTGTCTTTTGTACAAGGAAATGTACTGTTACTCTGAAATGAATGACAGACAATGTTGACAAGCTGATCTCCAACAGGGAGCTGGAATTTAAAATAGTTTACAGGTTGTGGACAGTGTAACTAACCTTATTCTTTAGTATAAAAACAGCTGTAAATTTCTAAAATTTAATTGAACATATAAAGAACTAAGTCATCCAACCCACACAGCAAAACTTTATAGGCAGCACAGTCACAGAATGTACATTAAATACAGTAAAAAAAGATGGTGACAGGAAAATTGTTTCAACCAGATTTGTTACATGAAAAACGTTATGTCCCATTTCTACAATGATAGTGAAATGAAACACTTTCCATATTTGATCACTAAGCAAGATGCACCTTCAAGTGCAACAGAACTTCCCCAAATGCAGAATTTGCTGTTCAGTTGCATTCCTGTGTTTCCATGACACAAACGAGAAGAAAAGCTTCCCATCTCTTTATGTCCTTACCCAAAAGTATTAACCTTGCCTGCATTGTGCCAGTGAGGGCTGCAAGGAGCAGGTATCCAGGATTTGCATACCCAAATCTCTCTCCTGTATCATGAGCAAGTGCATGACACTGCTTCAGTGTCTGTAGATTTTAGCCAGGCACAGGTGGAAAAAAACCCAAAATAGCAAGCTGCATCCCCAGAAGGAGGTTGGAAGCAATTCACTTTCCCCACAAAGTCAGGGGAAAAAAGGAAGAAACATTTCTGAGACTCAGGTCCTTCCTGGGGTGGCACAGACAATACAATTTTTTTTTCCATTAGAAAATCCTGCCTAAAGCTTTAGGCACTGTAATATATAACAATACAGATAAATCCCAGATGTACAGCATTCCTCACACAAGTGAGTCTACAGGTTCTAGCCCTTGCAGGTCTATCTAAAAGGCAAGGAATTAATGGCCAAACGAAAACTACACTCTTTCAGTATATACAATTACTCAGAAGATTTGGATACTCAGTGTGTAACTCATTTACTAAACACAGCTGTTCACATCTGAGCTAGTTACTTAGATTCCCACCTCAATTTAATGGACAAAAATTAACTCTAGGGTGCAAATAGAGAGCTTGGAAGAGGCCAGGTGAATCCACCTAGACACATCCTGCTCTTCTGCATTAACTAGAAAGAGAAAACCTGTGGTGACTTGCTCAGATACAGTTGCCCACAGGCTAGAGAGTCTACTAGGTAAGAACATAACATTCCCAGACCGGCCTCAGCTTTCCCTAACACCACATTCAATTACCTATTGGCTTGAACAGGAACTTCTGACTGGATACCAGTTCATTGCCAATTTATGCAACTATCACCAAAACTTTGTGAGGGTGGTTTAGTTTTTGGTTGGTTTTTTTCCCCTTTTGTCCCCCCCCCCCCCCTTCATTTAGCTTATCGCAGGTTGACTCAAGGGGACTTACTTTCTGGAGGAACAGTACTTTTTATAAAAGCAAGTGTCAGCAGGATAGTCTATTTCATTTCCAGTCAGGTAGAAATTTGAGACTAGTCTGGAAACAAAGGACAGAGTGTATTCCAGCCTTCGGAAAATCTCAGTGGTAAACGAACACATTATGGAAGCCAATACAGTTACAATCAATTATATAAACAGGTCACTCAGTATCTGGCAGGGTGAAAAATGATTAAGAGCACTTAATTTTGTGAAGACTTGTTTTTAAAAACAAGAGATGTATCTACACTGTACCAGCACTTTCTACATTCGTAACTCCTAACTTCATTTTTAAATATGCCGGTTTAAAAGAAATGCCTACTTCATTTTAAATTTAAACCAATATTTGGTTGCTACTAATTGGCAATCTGTTTCCGAATTCTGTTCTGACACTGGTAAGTTATCACTGACATTTGTGGACAATGACACATGAATAATTTCTTATTCTATGAAAGTAATGCTATTAACATACCCGTTTTTTTACTCTGAATATCCTTTTAAAGAAGATACAGGAAGGGTTTGCATAGATAGAGTATGTGGTATTAAACGTCACTATGATTATGAATTTTAAAAAGCATCTTTTTTTTAAAAGTGACTACAAAAACAAGTTCTTTTTACACTGATCTTTTAACATAGCACTCAGATATAACTCACATAGAGCAAATTTATTTCCATGGCTCAAAGACCGAAGTGTGCTATTTTAACATTTTAGACATTAAAAAGACAATTTCCAGAAACCGAACTTGTGATTACAATCCAGAAAATAATATGAAGCAAATTTGATTGACTGAGGCTTTTCAGATAGCAGCACTCTACTAACCATCTCCCCCTGCCCTGACCTCCACCCCCAAGCAAATGCAGGCAGCTAAGGAGCTGCAGAAAAGTCACTTCCAACTGTGCTGCAAAGACAAGGTAGTAATTTTAAAGAAAAGAAATTCTGAAAAACACAACTCAAGGAAAAAAAAATGTTGATCTCAGCATGATGCAAAGGAGCTCAGTATGAAATCAAATTTTCTGTTCAGGAAATTTGCTATTTTTAGGTAAGTTTCATTATTATGGTAAGAAGCCGGAACTCAGCAATAGCCTTATTTCCTTTTTGTAGTTTGGTGGCTGTTGTTGTGCTGGTTTAGGTCCTCCCCCCCCACCTCTTTCTGACAGTCAGAACTTCACCAAGTCCTCAGAATATACTGAAGCTCAATAACCAGGGAGAGACAAGAAGTGACCCCCCTCTCTCAGGACAGGCCAAGTCAGGGTGAAGGTACATATGTTTTCATATAAAGAAGCTGTCTCAGAAAGACAAGGAAATGAGAAAATTTATGAAGTTTCAGTACAACAGAACTGTGAGCAGAGAACTTAAAAAATAAACAGATCAGCATAATTTACACATTTAAAAACTATATATTTCATTCATAAATATATTTTCTAATTAATAACCTTTTCTAGTTTAAACATAAATATTCAAGTTGGTATTTGATTTTATTTTTTATCAGTTCATGTGAGTCCTGTAAGGATCAGTTCCTTCTGCTCAATGCAGTCATGTAAATGATCTTCACTAATGGGTTGTGCAAAGGCCTTCATTACCTAGTTTTTTGTAATAGAACTTTAAAATTCTGCAGCTCTTTTATACTTGTGGAAAGCCTGTAAAACAAAAACCACCTTAATGTTATTAAATCAGATGTGAAAGAGAAGTACAAATCATCACATTCATGGGGA